GTAGAGATGCAACTACCTATTAGACTAGTTACATGTTACATATGTAATACGACAGGTCATACATAGCTCAGTGACAGTGTTGGAGCTTGTGATTTGCGTGCTTTGTGCGGGCTAACGCGCGCGCGTTATAATAAAAAAATTAAAATAAGTAATATTATTTTCTACTGTTTATTCAACGTAAAAAAAATAAAAATAAAAAATAAAGAGCAACCGTACTAGCCTTCCAATGCTGACTCTAAGTTTTAACATGCAATCCAAATTCTATGTGTAGCTGCATTATAATTAAACAAGATACTTAATGCCACCCACGCGCTATACAAATGCCAAATTATAATGAATTTGGATTTACTTCATTAATCATTATTGCTATTATTTCGCATGTCATATAGTCCATATATGTTTCGTCGAAAACTCAAAAAATATTTGTTCTTGTCATTTTTATCATTTGATATCCGTTTCGTTTGTAAAACTATTACGAAGGGCTAGCTCACTTCGAACAAAAATATAATACAGCACTCAGATCAACAAGGAAACATAGGATTAGGACTGATTGGGGAACGCCACGTCGCCACAGGGCACAGGCACAGAAGTACTTTTTGTCCTTAGTTATATACAACGCGCTTTTTCGTTTCTCTGTTTAAGTTAAGTTGAAGGTGATTAAATTTCAGAACATGTTTGAGATTTAGCACATCAATTCATAAAGGAAAATGTGCACCACAGCACCAGATAAATGCTGATTGAATGAGCAATTCTCCCCAAGGTAGAAAGGAGGCCACGTGCCTTACGTCATTTTTTGTTGCCGAGATCAGAAATAAACGGGAAATTGGTCGATTGGCGGCCATATTGGGTTGATTGTAATGTTATTTTGAATTTCAACGGGAATTTATGGAGTTTTATTAAAGATTTTGAGTATGGTCATGAAGAGAAGTTCAGATATAGACTCACCGAGGAGAAATAAACGAACTAGTGATGGCCTGGAGGTTTTACATATGGTAAATATCGACAGATATTCTTCCGAAAACGAACGTCGTGCTCGAGAGCATTCACCAGACACTCGCATTTTCAACCGAAAAGGCGAGCGTTCTTCACATATTCATACAGTAAAAAGCGCGTTTGGGGCTGATTCGTACAAGGAAAAAAGGACCGAAAGAGTCAACGAAGCTTCAATTCGTGTTACCAACTTTACTCGGAGTGCAGCAGATCATGTTTTGCGAGAAAAACTCAACTACGAATTCAAGAAATTTGGTGAGATTAGTGTACGAATCGTGCGACATGACGACGAGCGTTACGCTGTTGTTTATTTTCAGAATAGCGACGATGCAGTAGAGGCGAAACGTTCAATTGAGAACCGTGGTCGAGCAATTTTCCTGCAAGATCGTGCTTTGAATTTGCAGTTTAGTATTCCTGGCAGTCGGTTGAGGTATTTGACGCCCGATGTGCTCCAGCAGAAAAGCAGATTTTCCCGGGGTTCGCCTACACGCAGTAAACATGATGAACTGGATGTTGTTGGGGAGGAGCGAAGACATCGTATAAAAGGTGAGCGTTTGTTTAGTGGTCAAAGTGCTATTTCTTCGGCTGCATTGGCAGTTGAGGGAGACGACCCGAAGGCGACTCGAACCCTGTTTGTTGGCAACCTTGAGAGCTCTATTTCTCGCCAAGACGTACGTCGTGAGTTTGAGCAGTTTGGCGTGGTTGAGGATGTTGATATAAAACGACCTATCCGTGGACAAGGAAGTACATATGCTTTTGTAAAGTTTATTGATCTTGATGTTGCAACAAAGGCCAAAGTTGCTATGCAAGGTTCCTTCTTTGGAAGGAATCAGGTAAAGATTGGATATGGCAAAAGCATGCCTACAACTCGGTTGTGGATTGGTGGTCTTGGATCTTGGACATCAATTGTAGAGCTTGAGAGAGAATTTGATCGGTTTGGTGCGATTCGTCGGATTGATTACAACAAGGGCCATGATCATGCATTCATACTTTATGACAGCTTGGATGCCGCTTCTGTTGCTGCAAGGGAAATGCGTGGGTTCAAAATGAATGGGCGGCGCTTGAAACTTGACTTTGCAGAACTAACACAAGGTTTAGAGGAGTATCCTGAGACGTTAGGCCATCTGGTTGAAGACAGAGAAAATCAGTTGACAAATCCAAAAAATCAAGATGCATTGACAAGTGGTGAGTCATTTAAAAAATCCCCTGAGAGAAAGGTTTTTAAGAGAGAGAGAAACAACAGTGATGGTAGTGGAAAATGGAGTGATTCAATGAGTAACCTCAGCTTTAATGATGCAAAGCAAAGTGGTGGAAAGCGCGATAGCTGGCAGTGGATTCATGAAAAAGACACAAAGCAAAAATTGGAGGAAAGACCTAAATTCCGTGGCCCTCGTACCCCATCACCACCTGAAAATGAAAAACTGCCTGCAAGGAACCATAGGAGTAAAGATAGAGCAAAAAGCAGAGAAAAAAACAAGTCTGGCAATGGTGTTTCTCGTTCTCGCAGCCCACCTTCTAAACGTCCACGTAAAACCTCTGGACCTCCACCTGCTTTGTCTCCACAAAGATTTGGATCAATATCACCAAAAAGGAAAAGCCGTTCTGCCTCCCCTGTTAGCGAAAGAAACTACAAGCCTGATGACAAGTATCACAAGGAAAAAGATCAAGAAAAGGATAAATATAAAAATCAAGACCGAAAAGAAAAAACACAAGATAATGAAAGCATTGAATCTGAAAAACCTGCATCTGAATCAAAAGAAATTGTTCCAGTGGAAGAACCTGTTTCTAGTACATCTGAAAGCCTTCAAGATATTGCTAAACGGTTTGCTGTTGCATGGCGTGGATCTCTGATACTAAAAAGTAGCTCTTTTCCTGTTCGTCTTCATTTGATTGGTGGAAACCCAGAAATTGTTGAAGTGTTACTCCGTAATGTGCCTGGAAATTCTGCGCCAAATACCGTTTTACGTATTTCACAACGACTGCGACTTGACCAACCAAAATTAGAGGAAGTATCAAAAAGGATGAATACAGCTGGTGCATGTGGCTATTGTATGTTGCTTGCATTACCTGGTGTGCATGGAGGAGAACCACCCTTAGATACTGAAACCAATATGCCAACTCAACAAAGACCACTACGAAACCTTGTTACCTACCTGAAACAAAAACAAGCTGCTGGTGTTGTTAATTTAATCAATACAAATAATCTATCTCCAACAAATATAAAAGATGAAGATGGTGTGCTTCATGCATTCCCGCCTTGTCAATATTCTCATGACCAGCTTTTAAAAATTGCACCTCATCTTGGCCAAGAAGCATTTAATGAAGACCATCTTGTTGTCGTTGTTATTCGTGGACCTGCATAGTGTAGATGTGGTATATCTTTGACTTTTATTTTGAAGAACATATATCCTGTTCCTGGTTGTAGTAATTCCATACATGTTATATTCTATGTTCTACAGCAATACAAAATTGTTGAAAAGTTACAAGCCATCAGTTTCATTTTTGGACTGCAAAAGTTGAATTTTGTCATTTAAGCCTCAAATTTGGACATGCTAATGGTAATATTGTCAATGTTAAAAGTGACTTTGTCTTCTCATAATATAATGGATTTTAATTTGGTGAGAGCTTAATTTGTGTTTGTAATGGTAATGTATTGACATGACTTCTTCCTGCTTATATATGGCTTCCATATATGTCTAATGTAATGGTTCAAAGAATCTGATATCATAATGACTGTTACCGTACTGAATGCATTCTACACTATGGACTTTATTACCTTATTCTACACTAAGGACTTTATTATCATGCAGTGGCTATGGATCCCAAAATAATGGAAGTCCCAATTATAATGGTTAATTGAGACTCTTCTCTAATTGAAAGCAATATTTATTATTTTCATGGTTAAAGTAAATGTACAGTTATTCTACTATATGGCAGCCTGATTGTTAGGAAAAGTACTGTGTTATCATGTTTATGGAAAGTATTGTTGATTTGCAAGATTTGGAGCATTTGCAATGTCATTGAGATTGGAAGTGGAAAAGTTTTGATAATTGAAATATCTTTGATGGTACATGGACACCAATTGTTCAAATGGACAGGAGTGGCATAACTTTATATTACTGTTTAACTTTTAAACTGTTTGAGATCATTAATTAATCAAACTTTTAAAAACAATTCAAAATTTTAATTAGTATACTCACGATCAATGTTTTGAAATCAGAAAGGGGCCGTCTAAAAATATCAGCACTTTTCCCTATACAAATAACCTGCTAATTTAGTATAATTTAGCACATAGCAAACCACTTCAAAATCATGTTTGAGCTTTCTACATACATATGTGTGCTTAAACCAAGGTGTTTCAGCACCATTTTGATGCCGAAATTAAAGTAATTTTGTGCATCTCTTAGTCCAAGTTTGTGTCCAACTCCTACTTGCTCTAATCTATGAACATTGGTTATAATAAATTATTTGTAGGTTATTTATATAGGGAAAAGTGTTGAAATGGCCCAATGTGAAAACATCACAGCTGTACATAAGTGTAGATTCTGGAGTTGTATTTACTGACAGCAAAGAGAAATAACATGATGTAACTGTTACCAATGTTTGCCAATTTATATTCTTTCTATTTTTCTCAAAGTGTGATTGCCCAAAAGCATTGGTTTTCAAGGTTTTGTTGCTCATTGTAAAGTTAATCAAAGTGTGTGGCATTGTAAGCCCCTTCAAAAACTAATACAATTTGTGTCAATTTGATGATGTCATTATGAAAAAACGTTTATAGTGTAAACCAGCCTTAGGGCTAATCTTCAGGTGCCGGTTGTTCAAAGCTGGATTAGGGTTATTTCAGTTTGTGTTTTTCTTTCAAAACTTTAGAAAATAAAACTTTTGATGCAGACAAGTCCTACAAAAACTTTTAAAAAGCAACCGACCCCAGGCAGACAATTCCTGTGAATAGGGGTGCACCGGATTTCAAATCCGGCCGGAATTCCGGCCGGATTTAACGAATTTTCCGGCATCCGGCTTCCGGCCGGATTTGGAGAAAATCCGGCCGGATTTAAATTTCTGTTTTCACCTTAAAAATTCACCAAGAATGGGATAAACCATCAATTTGGCAGCTTTAAAATTTAAAAACACTTATATTATTATAAAATATTAAGTTATTAACAAAAACATGTTTAAAAAAGGTTTAAACACAATCAAAAATCTAAACTGACACTAACTAAAAATAGTAAAAAACATAAACCGTCATTTTGAATACTGATTTATCCCCAATTGTCCCCATTACCGGTTTATCTCAAATCCAGTCGGAATTCCGGCCGGAATTTTTGTCCAAATCCGGTTCCGGCCGGATTTGAAAATTCCAAATCCGGTGCACCCCTACCTGTGAATAATTATTTGCATAGCTTGTTTAGATAAATGTCCATTGCCTTAGGCAGGGGCGCACATTAGGGGGTGTGTGTGGGGGGGGGGGTGTGACACCCCCCCATGTTTTGTGAAAGAGATCTAAAAAGTCGGTCCCAAAACCTGAATGGGACGAAAAAGTCGGTCCGGCTAAAATCTGAAAGATATTATCATTTTGTGCCGAAAAAAGTAATAGGTGGACATTCTGGAAATGGAAGTTGCATAAACATAAGAAAGACGAATTAGACAAAGAAAAACGAATTAGACATACACAAATTAGAGTTCACTGACACAAACCAAGAGAGCAACTAATCAACTTCCATGTTACAACAGTTCAACCAACGTAATGCGATCCGATTACCTCAAGCCCCCGCGGTGCAGTTAATATGTGCATTGTTAGTCTTGTCGTAAAAGCGGAAACTTTGGAAGGCAGAAGTATATCAGCGGCGTAGCCAAGATGGGGGCTCGGGGGGTTCTGCAATGGGCATAAGGACTGCCCTTGTGGAAAGCTGAAATCCGGGCAGAAATTGGGGTGGGGGTACGATGTGTGAATAATGATACCCATCTCTTCTGTTTGCCAATAAAAGTTGAAGTCTTCCCTACCTAGAATCCTAACTCCAGTAAAAAATGCTTATGGTTGCTTTAAAGCACATTTGAACTTGAATTTGCGCTCAAGGCGATACTCATGACCGACTTCTACAAAAACGAAGACATGATGCTATTTTGCTGTTGTATTTGCGTGTACAATACTATGTTTTACATAAATATTTTTTCGATCTAACAACATTAGGCGACTTAAAAATGTCTTTTTGTGGTTGTAACTTTTCTTCAAACCTCGTCCTAAAATACGTGAAATAGCGTTCTAATGAATCTAGAAATTCAAAATTTTCCTCGCGCCTACGGCGCTCGCATTCGAAATTCATAAAAATTTTGTCCCCCCCCCCCTCCAAAGGTTTAGACCACTGCAAAAGTTCGGTAAAAACTGAACGTTTATTGAAACTCTATACATAAATATTTTTTCGATCTAACAACATTAGACGACTTAAAAATGCCTTTTTGTGGTTGTAACTTTTCTTCAAACCTTGTCCTAAAATACGTGAAATAGCGTTCTAATGAATCTAGAAATTCAAAAATTTCCTCGCGCCTACGGCGCTCGCATTCGAAATCCATAAAAATTTTGCACTCCCCCCTTCCAAAAGTTTAGACCACTGCAAAAGTTCTGAAAAACTGAACGTTTATTTAAACTCTTGGAATGCTATCCCCGTCTTACCGTCTATGCGCTTTAAATAGTTGGCTTTTCTTACCAAACACAAATACTACAAAAGTCGGTCCCAGAACATAGGACACCCCCCCAAATTTTTTTCGAATGTGCGCCCCTGGCCTTAGGTATAGAGTCTTGTTTCTGTAATTACCAGTATAAGATCTTAATTTCGGAGTCTTTCATCTTGTTATTGTTGCTATATTATCAAATAATATGCTTATAATAGATAATTAAAGACTTATGTCCCAATAAAAGGTGCTAACGATTCTTAGTAATCGATAAAGCCAGGGTCCCAATCATAAAACAAGGCTGTGTGACCAAGGTGATAACAGCACTTTCTAGAAGCCTGCAGTAACATTCATGATTTCCCTTGAAGAATAAAATCGTTTTGTGTCGTGGTAATATAAGTAGGGCACATTGAAGCTTAATTGGTTTAGGTTAACCATAGTACCATGCAGGACCTTCCAGTGGTCAAAACGTTTGGTTGAGACATGGTGAGACTAGGGTAGATCAATCTCGTATACGAGATTGTGCTTGTGGAGGTAGGTAATCTTCGAGTTAAGCCCTTCGAGTTAATAAGCCCTTTTTGGAGTTAAGCCCCGACCACGCCCAAACCACACCTATTTTCGTCAAGGGCTTAACTCGAACTCTCGAAGAAAGAAACACAACTTGGAAAGTTCGAGTTAAGCCCTGAGAAAAAAGAGGCCGCTTAAGTCGAAGCCATTGAAAATATTTGACGCTCGAGTTAAGCCCTGACATTTGAGGCATGCAAAAGAGCAATGATTTGAGTCGTCCACATCTAGCTGGAAATAGTTATCATACGTCTCGGCTTAAAATTGCGTTAAATAAATAAGCTGCAGTCTAAATGAGTCACGAACAACTCGCATAAACAGTCAATTTTCATTAAGTAACAGATTATTATGGACTAGCTTTTATACCTGGGCCGGTTGTTCAAAAGCCGGTTACTTAACCCTAGGGCTAGGTTAACTTAAAATTCAAAGCACACTTCCTAACAGCTTGTTCATAAATTTGGAAATATTTCTTCACAAATCATGTCTGGATCAATAGAAGTTTTCTTTTTTGACATTTTGAAATAAATGGACGTGCAGAAGTAAAACAGCAGGTTAAATTTTAACCCTGGGTTAGCGCTCAAACCCACCTTTGAACAACCGACCCCTGAGCTGATTACGAATAAATTGACCTCGCGGCTTTATTTCGCGTAAAAGGTAAATTTACTCGTATTAAGCTCAGAGGTGTAAAAGCTAGCCCAAAATAATCTGTTACTTAATGACTCGTGACTCGTTTATATAGGCTGCAGCTTATTTAAGGCAATTTTAAGCAGAGACGTATGATAACTATGTCCAAGTGAACTATTTCCAGCTAGATGTGGACGACTCAAATTATTGCTCTTTTACATGCCTCAAATGTCGGGGCTTAACTCGAGCGTCGAATATTTTCAATTAATGACTTCGAGTTAAGCCCCTCTTTTTTCTCGGGGCTTTATAACTCGAACTTTCCAAGTTGTGTTTCTTTGTTCGAGTTAAGTCCTTGACGAAAATGGGTGTGGTTTTGGCGTGGTCGGGGCTTAACTCGAAAAAGGGCTTAACTCGAAGGGCTCAACTCGATTACCTACCTCCACAAGCACAATCTCGTACCCAGAGCCATTGGTTATTATTTGGCGGCTTTGTGTACGAGATTGATCTACCCTAGTAGATCTACCCATGTCTCAACCAAATGTTTTGACCACTGGAAGGCCCTGGTTACTATGGTTAACCTAAACCAATTAAGCTGCAATGTGCCCTACTTATATTGCCACGAGTCCACGACACAAAACGATTTTATTCTTCAAGGGAAATCATGAATGTTACTGCAGGCTTCCAGAATGTGCTGTCATCACCTTGTTCACACAGCCTTGTTTTATGATTGGGAACCTGGCTTCATAATTACTAAGAATCATTAGCACCTTTTTTTGGGACATAAGTCTTTAGTTATCTATTATAATCATATTATTTGATAATATAGTAACAATAACAAGATGAAAGGCTCCGAAATTAAGATCTTATACTGGTAATTCATCTACCTATACTATCTAGGCTCGTCGTTGGTTGATTATAGTATAACAATGAAAGACAATAAAACTATAGAAATCGTCTTTCTAAAGAACGAGTCACGAACAATGATCATTTTTGTTTCTGATTTGTTTCTGAAAGCCAGTCACAAAACATGATCATTTTAAGTAGGTCTTTACCGGGTAGTCTGGTTAACTCGCACCAACCTCGTTCCCAGGCTCTTGGAAAGAGCCTGGGTACGAGGTTGAACCATTGGTTGAACTCACACGTACGTACCAGCACAGTAGCACTCTACAAGTAAAATTGTCTGGGAATACTGGGATTCAACAGAGGAAAGTGAGGGCCCTGAAGGGGTAAAATGGGAACTGGGATTGATATATTTTTAGACTGGGAAAATGGGATTTGGGTTGCTGGGACTAGGATTTGGCCACTGGGAATGGGAAATGAAGTCCTCAAAAAATGGGAATGGGATTGAGGTAATGCGAGTCGATTCCCAATTTTTCTGCGTTTTGAGTATTTTAAAATACAATTTTGATCCGTTTTTGGTGTCTTTGGTCATGATTTTTGTTGTTAACTATATTATTCACAGCACTACCTGCGAACAGGCATACTCTGGCGCCCGGAATTCTGGGTTTTCTGATTATGCGTGTCTCGGAATGCTGCAAATGCCATTTCCGGGATTCAAATTTAAAAATTTTCCGTGCCTTCGGCACGAGCCCCCCTAATATTTCATAAAGTGTCAGCCACTTGCTTAAAAGGTCTTAAAACTGTTTATTCTACCGATAAATAAAGGGGTTTTTATTGACTGGGATTTCAATAACTGGGACTGGGATTTCTAATAAAAATTCAACTGGGACTGGGATTTTGCCAACATTTCAGGTGGGAAATGGGATTGGGACCCCCCTTCAGGACCCTCGAAAGTAACTAAGAGAATACATTGCAACTGATGGGTTAATATATGAAAACATAGAATATTGTACTTTTATCATAAAACAATATGACAGCATTGTTTTACCTTTCGATGGAAACGTATTTCAGAATCTTATATTTATTACTTGTGGTCAAATTGCATAATACACCCTTTCGATAATTACGTCATTTGGCCTGGAAGCCTCGCTCTCATGAATAGTGAGCCAATCACCTTGCGTAATTTACTAATGAGAGCGAGGCTCCAAAACCAAAAAGTATGTGCGACGTACTAAATTATCGAAAGGGTGTATTGTATTTATCTTGATGAGGGATAAATGTCTGGATCATTCTTTATCCCTTCCCGCAAGAGCATGCTTATCTCTTTATTCTGTGACTGAGATGCTTATCCCTCTCAATCCTCATATTTGTTATTATGGCGACTGAACAGGAGCAAGGTTCTGGCAGAGTAGTAAAACAAAGTATGGGGGAACTATCCTATGGTAGGTATATGATAAAACGGCATCAGATCGTATGAATTGGTCAATGTTAACTATTTGCGTTTTCGATATTATAAACACTAAACAAACACTACTAGTACTAGGAATCAATCGAATCATTGATCGCTGAAGAAGGAGGCCGACCTTGAAATCTGAATTCTGAAATGTTCCACATTGCGCTATAATTTGATGCGAAATTTCGGCCCGACTTTTCCACAGCCAGATACGTTTTATACTTACCCAGGTAACTAAAAATATTTGAAACTTCGTTTTGGGCTAGCATTTGCTACATGTACAGTCGAGTTCAAAATACTTTTGCCTCAAAATCCTCAAATAGACGCAAACTCATTGCGACATTCAATTTACGTTTATAAGCCGGAATTATTCATTTTAGTTAAATATTAGTATTATGGAAAGAAAAAAGAAAAAAAAAATTGACATCAGAATAAATTATCAATATATTTAGTAAATTTATTATAAATTATGATAAATTTAACATTGGAATGTGACTGCCAATTATTTTGCCAATTACCATGCAATAATAAGGTGATTACCGATTAATTGCCTTAATTATGATGATGGTTGCCTATTTATCAGCTTTGCTGATTATTTTCCAATTAATCCAATTTGAGCACCATAGCTCTCGCCTTGACAATTAAATTATTGTGTGGCATTAGCTGCATTAGACAGCGAAAAATAATGAAATAGGGTGCATTGAGGCACATTGCAACTCAATGGGTTAATCAGTTCTTCTCTAGTCTCAATAGCAATTACTTTATAATTTCTCAATCTGCTGACAATTTAAAATCTTCATACTATTATTATTAAAAGTTTATAATAAACTTCTCCATTATCAGTGCATGTTATGTCCTAGGACAGGGGCAAGAGGATAAAGCAGTTTCTGCAAGAGATGGTCAAAGATTAACAAAAGTATGATCAAATGTTAGATTGATATTGTTGGAAAGCACAATTCAAAGACACAACTATAAAAGATTGAAGCGTCTGTGCATTCTGTGTACAAAAGTTTGAAGGTTGCCAGTTTGCATCGAGCTGCAATTATTTATATTAACTTGGGTGTATATTATGTATGCAGTTTAATGGTGTAAACTACAGTAGTCTGTATATGTAGGGGTGGTTAAAATCCTTCTGAAATGGCATGCAAGGTCTATGCTCTATAATAAAGTTAATTGGGGGTACCATTCATCAAATAATGTTGAACATGTATACATTTCTCTAAACTAGTTTTACCCTGGCTTAGTTCTACCCATTTTCTCAGTTCTATCTATTTCCTGTAAGCAGTGAGGCAGAACACTTTTAAATATTAGTCCTGTTCGCCCATATTTATACCACCTTACTCTGCATGGCTGAACAGTGATCCAGCAAGGTTTTTTCAGGGGGATGCTGGGCGAGGAGCCAATCACCCCAAACCCAGCATACTGTCGTGAACATGAAGTAAGGTCGCATTTTGGTGGAAATAGTGAGGGAGGTGGAAAAAATTTAGAGGAGGTGCAGCGGTCTAGCTCATGACCCCCATGGAAAGTTAGGGCTAACTGTAGAACAGGCCATAGTCAACAACGTGATGTATGCATATAGTTAGAGTGGATTGATATCGCAAATACCGAATACCGATATACCGCCATCAGAATACTGGTAAATATCGGTATACCGGTATTTTTAACGTGTTTTTGTTAAGCCAAACTGAACTGCTGACCGTCAGGAAAAATCAAGTTTTGACAAAATATTAATGTGGCACATACTGTTATTAGTACAAATATCACAAGATTCGCATTATCAAGCTATGTTAATGGCGCTACGCGGCAATTATTAGTAGGCCGCCGAAGTGTTGAATCTGTGAGTATTAACTTTGCTTTCTAAACATAATTGTAAGCAAGTTTGACTTGAAATAGCGTTTCAATTCGGTATTAGGCAGCAAAATACCGGAATGTCGGTATATCGGTATTTTTAAATTGTCAATATCGCCAAACTGGTATCTAAATAAATACCGGTATACCGGATATATCTGGTATATCGATCCACTCTACATGTAGTGTGCATATGTATCAGTGTATTAATGAATTATGACTGTATGACTCATCCAATTTTGCCCTTCATTACAATTGCTACAAAGTTTCTTTCAAAACATTGCATTAAAAGGGTATTTGTCACTGTTTCAATTTTACAGAAAAAAACGTTCTGACGAAGTGTGACCCTAAGCAACCATCAACTTATCACTTTGATCTATCATTGAAACTTTCCCAAGGGGAGACGCATCACTTTTCAGGGGAGGTGCAAACATTCTCAGGGGAGATGCGAAATGATCTCAGGGAAGGTGTGCACCTCCCCACACCTCCCCTCAAAATCCGGCCAAGTTGTCATGAAGTGCCTTGATACTGTGATTGTGTGAAAGAGAAAATGGAATTTTTTCACATTTGAGAATATTTGATTTTTTCTAATTTTCTTTTCTTTATCAGTTACAGTAGATACTTATAATCATGTTAGACGTTTGCCGCAAATTAAAAATTTGTTTTAGTCAATCTTTAGTTAGCCCAAGACTGATAACAAATTTTAAATGTTTGAATGCCTCAAACATTTAAAACTATTAGATAAATTCAATTTTGTGCACCCCCTTGCACCCTTGGCCTACAGGGGTGTGCACCCCCCCCCCCTATAAATCCACCACTGTGGCTGAAGAAGTTATAGAGAGCCCATGGAGTAATGCTATACCTCTATTGTCTAAGAGGCTAACACCAAATTCAAAATGTTCAGTTCAAAACTTCAAAATTTAGTTGATGTAAGAATCCTGATGTTACAAGCCAACTCCAAAAATTAGGTTGAGACCATGGAGCTATAATCCTGGGCATAACTGGTTGATATTACCTTACCCCTGTATTCCCTCTATACAAGATTCACATACCGCTTATGATTAATTTCCATGTTAAATCATGTTGCGCTTCTTCAGGCCCCGCTCCCCCAATTCAATGTTGACCTTCCGTCATCAGATGGTAAATTTCCAAAAGTTGTTTTGGTGCTGTTTACAATATTGAACTAGGGGAGTGTGGATGACAGTTTGCTTGCATTAACTTTGCAATTATATTGGCTGGAATGGTCTCAAGGGTTATGTCCAAGATTGTATCTTAGATAATCTAAACCTGGCATACTGCTTTGACAACTAGAAAAATCCTTGATTACCTATTTACCTCCACATAAAAAAAAACTGCAGGAGAGAGATGCGCAGGTGATAAGGATTAAGGTGAAAAAATAACATCCTGGTTACAGAACACTATGCTTAATTGGCACTAGAAGAAAAAAATTCCGCAATTTAATGAAATTGGTGGATTCAGTTGTATCTTAGAGTATTATTCTGACACTACAAAACACAATGGGAAATCCATTGCCTCGAGCGGGATCGCGTCTGCGGTCAATGATATATGAAACAAGTTTTTCATATCCCTGAGGATAAGACATTTTTTAACTCGGGTCTGAATATTTGCGTTTCCGTTAAGTGCCATTCTCATGGCCTAGCGCAAAGCGCTAGACTTGGCTGAGATTCACTGAAACTTTTGGCTTTGAAGTGAAAGTTAGCTTATATTGTTTTGTATTGAAAACAAACAAAATTTTAGCCGCAGTGTGACCAGATATTATGCAAGGCAAGTACTAAATAAGCATGCAAAAAATTACCAAAACGTAGAATAAATTACTAAATTTCTGCTGTCAACCAAAGTGGTTTGAAAATCAATAAAACATCTCAGCAAAACAAAATCAGTAAAACGCTTTCCATCACTGAAACTATGTTTTTTCCATGTTTTTCTTTCTCACTTGTACTTTTTGGTTGCAATTGTGCAAAATGCAAATATGACGCCGCAATGATTGGGCCCGGGTCCCTAACCCGCAATCAGCTCAGGGTGAGTGGTGATCAGCAGGATTCCCTCTCATTGAATTTTTGAATAACAGGTTGTGTCATTATGGTAATTGGTTGAATTTCATGAGATAACAAAAATATTACTAACTTTAAGAGAAATTACTAAAAAAATTACCAAAAATTTTCAATTTATATAATACCAAAAAAGTCAGAAAAATCGCGAAATATTACCAAAAGTAATTTAAATTACCAAATCTGATCACACTGATTTTAGGCTAGATGTAGCCTGCGTGGCAGGCGGTTTTTCTACTGGCAGCGAAAATTAGGGAGGAAAAGGATTTCCTTCGCCTCCCTAAAAACCGCCTGCCACGCAGGCTAGGCTGGATGGCATCCTCACAACACTGATTTTGAAGTTGAACAATCCTATATTTTTACTTTATTTTTTCATAGTAGTTATGTTATTTTTGGCAGGTCTAAATTGGGAAATTGCTAAAGCCCGTTTTCCACTCACGTATTTCGCCGCCGCTGGCGAAAAATTTCGCCACCGAAAAAGTTCATTTGTTGTTCTTTCGCGCCGTCAACGAAAGGTCAAACAGAAGTTGAAAATTTTAAGCAACTGTAGCAGGAGAACAAATTTCTTCAGCGGCGAATGAATGTAAAAAAATGATTTCTTTGTCAAAATTTTTCGCCAGCGGCGGCGAAATACGTGAGTGGAAAACGGGCTTAACGCCGAATTTTTAAGTGTGGCTATTACACCCTGCATTGTTTGCGTTTTCTCCAGAATATCATATTGGGCCTAGTAAACCCGAAACAGGCAAATACAAATTTCAGTCGTGTTGTTCAGAATGTCACCCCTTGTAAAAGTGGTAGATTCTTCTTGATTTTATCATTTTCATCTGCAGTCAAATTTGCAGTATCCTGATCACTGATCTAATAGCAGATCATTGATCCCAATGTCCATAATATGTATTTTAACCTGCATGCATACTGGACATCACAAGCTCAGTGTCCACTGGGACGCTAAACAAATTTCTCTCCTTTACACTGTCTGCAGTATCTCCTATGTCTATATATATATATAAACATGCACTGCAAAAAATAATGCACCCAATAATGCTTTTTTGAGTAAAGATTTATTTTACTCAAAACAATGAGTAAACGTGCTCATAACTGAGATTCACCGAATTTATTACAATTGAAAACTACTTTTGCATTTCAATGTTTGGTATAGTCTCCTGCGCAGCCGTTTTTAGGGTTGACAAAAGGTAGTTAGCCATTTGTACATAAACTACCATAAATGTTTGGATAAGAACTATCCAAATGTGGGATACTTGATTTTTTGGATGAGTATATACTATAGGTTGAATTTCAAATTTCAAGCCTGCTATTTTCTTTTAATTGAAACAGATCATCCAGTTTTGGAGCCACTTTGTTTTCCTGAACACAATTCCAAGGCAAATTTCTCCATTCCTCTATTTTGTTTACTGTGTGATAAAATGTTCAAGGATGTTGGAATGGAGAAGAGTGATTCTCTTCTTCATCATTTGCTTGTTGAACATCAATTCGTTATTGCTGACGTGGATCTCATTGCTGATTTTAAAAGGTAAGAAATTATTATAAGCTGAAAAATATAATTAAGTGTTAAATGCAAAAAATATAATTAAGTGTTAAATGCAAAGAATGAGAAGACTTAGTATATACATGCAGTAGTATTATTAAATTTCGGAAGGAAAAGGTAAGAAAGTTGGACAATAGGCAAACATCCATCACCACAGCTAGAAAAAGCATGTTAAAATTAGTAAAATTGCAAAGTTTGGCCGGGAAATGTTATAAAATGCAGAAAATATAGCCCTGCGAAATTTGCAAATTTTGTATTAATTTGTATTACGCGCGGGAAAATGCACCATTACATGTAATTGGGCCGAAGTGGTGCATTTTCCCGTGCGTAATAGACATTAATACAAATTTCGCAGGGCTATATTTTCCTCATTTTACAACATTGCGCAACCAAACTTTGCAATTTTACTAATTTTAACATCATGCTCTTTCTAACCATCAAAATTTAGTCAATAGCTGGAATCATCCTTTCCTTCTCACATAATTTTGTTGGGCAACCCAATAATCCATCTTGTCAGCAGCAATAATATGGAGTTTGGAATGCCTAAAAAAGTACTATGCCGTAATGTAATATAGGCATAAAGATCCACTAATCATTATTGGTGAGTTTTTTTTCTCGTTAAGCTATATTCATTACTGGAAAAGAAGGTTTCGAGAATCACCAATAACAGACTTTTGTTCTGTGATTAACATCAACTCCAGAGCTGAAGGTAAAAACTTTGCTGTTGGAATATACCATTATTTTTTTTCAGTTATATACTTGAGAGGTTGCAGGATAAATCGACCTGAAAAATATAATAAGAATTTGGACGTTTCGGGCAAAGGTCCTTCATCTGGAAGTTAATATAGCTGTCACTCTTCAGACGTACAGTACAGTCAGTGACAAAAGATCTTTGGACACATACTATATACTTAGAAAAAACCACGGCCAGCTGACAATTTAAGAAAATATAAAAAGAAACAAGTTTGATGATGACTTTGAAATTTCAAATGATGATGACTTTGTCTGATGATGACTTTGAAATAAAGTCGAACATTCACAGTTTCACTGAAACATTCGTCTTGTATTAATTCAAATCTTGAATTTCATGATGGCATTATCATTCGGAATTTTTTCTTTCTACTGTTCGGCATAATAACACCATCCTTCCCCCACCCTGAACAATGTTGGGTCGTTGGCAAGCAACATGCATTTGCGCAAGTTTTTGTCGACACAACATTCTCTAGAGACCTTACGATTTTAGGACGGCAACGCGACGGCGACGGCCAAAACAAACCCCTTCAAATAAATGGTAGTAAAGTGTATTATCAATCGTATGCATTTAATACAGTTTTAGAAGTTGAAGACATGGGTTTTATGGTTGGGAAGAGTTCTGCTAAACTCAGTTTGAAGTTGCACTTGTTGTGACTTGCAATGCAGCCGTTGTATCAAGACGTGAAAATCTGTGATTTGGCGTTGTAAACAGAGCGAGGACAATGTCTAAATTATATTCATATATTGTAATTACTCAATTCTTTTCAATGATCTATTGTATTAGTAGCCGTTGCCGTCGCGTTGCCGTCCTAAAATCGTAAGGTCTCTATTGAACGAGGGGCTCGGGAGTCGGTTATGTTGCAAACGTTTGTAGCTGTACCACCCTTCACATGGACGGCCTAATTGCTCGTTCTTGTTACATTTTTCAGGTAGTTTGAAGCCTGAAGGGACATTTAATCACTTTGTACATTACATGTTCGTCTGTAATGATAAATTTAATATGTGTTGTTTCTAGACATTGGACCAAAGTTGCAATATAACTTACTATGTGATGGATTACCGGAGGATAAGCAACTGCGGGAACAGTTGCAAATGAATAAGCTGGTAAGTAGAGATTATGCTCAGAAAAATCTTTTATATATAATTATTATTTGTACTGTAAAAATTGATATCATGATAATGCTTGGATGGCAAATATTCTCCCTGATTACATGTACTGCACAAGTCTAAAGGCTGGTTTACGCTATCTAAGTCTGTGTGATCACAGTAGGGATTGTGCATAAGTAAAGTTTTGAACGATTTATAAGAAATGTTTGAGGGAGGTGATGTGTTAACACTACACAGATTTAGATCGAGGACGCGGACGTCAAAGACGACGTGGAAATGGCGTCAAAATGGCGTGGCATATCCATATAATATAGATTAAGTAACCTTTTCCACAACTTTAATTGCTTTTAACAACTTTGAACATTGAACAAATGATGCTCTTGATTGTCTAATCCACAAATTTCGATCCAAAAAAGCCGCAATAATATGCAAACGTTCGTGTTTTCCAGGACGCCATTTTGCTAGCAAGTGTCATGGCGTGAGCATGACGTGTACATCTAGGGAAATTTGAGGACACGAATTCCTATTAAGTTACACATCTGGTATATACTTCATCGGTGTCCATATACATGGGCACAACACGCCATTTTCACGTCGTCTTTGACGTCCACGTCCCTCGATCTAAATCTGTCTACTGACTCAGTTAGGTCGCTGCACCGGAATCGCGTGGCCGCATGTTTGATTCCAGGGCGCTTATAACCTCTGGAAGAACTAGAATATATGCATATCAAAATATTGAAATGTTCAATCCTTATTTGAATATGCAAAAGTTGCTTAAAGAATAATTAGTTTCCGCATTGTTGATTCGCCTTAAATTTGAAAATATATTCCCTTAAGTGTACAGGGTGTCCCAAAAAACCCGAAAACTATTGAAATAATTACGTATTGTTAGAATTTGAAGCTTATATATATAAGCGCCTAAGCCGTTGCATTTTTCGCGGTTGCTTCTGGTGTGGTCTAAAATTGTATGTAATCTTCCGCTCGAATTTCCAATCTACAAAAACCCTTCAACTGTTAATTCTATTGAGCGAAATGCCCAGAAATGTCGATATTTAAACTTATCTGTATAATCTCGTGCTTTTTTTAATTAATTATTCCTTTGTATGTAGCAAGACATGTTACAGCATCAACAGCAAGAAAGAACAGACAGCCACTTTTCAAGAGATTGCCTTTTCTGTAATGACCACTTTGAAGGGAACAGGTATTAAAACTCAGTGTGTTATACTTTGTTCTTTTACTCAGCTGGTATATTAAGACCATGTCTGTGATAAAATCGAGCGGGCAAGCCCTGGGTACGAGGTTGGGCTGTGAGTTGGGGAGCTATTACAACCTAGTTCCATTATGTTATCAGCGCTTGCAAAACGTACATTTCAATCACGCTTTTACGATTTTGGCATTTTTCTTTATTCAAACATAAAAGTAAAAATTGAACGGCAACATCCGAAATTTCGTATTCCTGACTTGCCCATGCCTATGGTCTCGGCCGACATAGCCAGGATGTCGCCAGGCGAGTGAGCCCACTTCCTCATATGAACTCGATGTAAATTTTACTAGGAGGTGAGATCATAGATGAACAGGCCCAAACTGAAATATTGCCTACTGAATTATGGGTGCTAAAAAATTCCATTTATATGATTTACATATACTTTACAGGCAGGAAACGTTAACTCCCAGGGTCCAACAAAACACTTACAGGAACAGCTAAGAACTGAACTGCTAAGAACTAAATAACAACAGCTGAAATGAGTACCGTAAGGGTTTATTTTTGAAGGTTAGCTGTCGACTTCGAAATGTATTTTAGCAAGAGACCACGAGACTGTCCTCAGTTGAACTTCGTACCCAGGGAGGTACGAGCAGCCTAGTTAACGTTTGTTAATGTTCGCCTAAAACTATGAAAAGCAAAGTGTCCAGTTATCAGTCAAAATCCAAAGTCATAAAATGCATTCATAAATTATCTTATAAATCATCATGCAATTTTCAGATCTGTTTTGTTTCAACATATGGTTGATAAACATGCTTTCAACGTTGGCCTCCCAGACAATCTTGGTAAGTGCAGTATACATATTTATTTTTCTCTCGATATTTGATCTATACCTGGTATCCTGTCGAAGACAAAGTGTTAATGGCAAAGTTTCCAGCATGCATTGGTATAGCCTGTTTTCTTGATTAGGCGAATTTGTTCGCGCGAAGCGAAAAACACATTTTGGTAATGCATGGTGAAAAGCCGAAGGATCATATCCAACTTTTCGGGGGAAAGTAGGATTGGGTCTAATTTCGCAAAGGGTTAATTAAATTTTTGAGAGGGGAGGGTTGGGCAAGTGCCATGCAAAAAAAATCCAATTCGAGCACAACTTTAACCTGAGAAAAAATATATATATATCGTGCACAGCAATCACCCTCTCCAGAAAAAGTTTCTGCAAAGCTTCATGGTTTTAAGCATAAGCATGTTTACGCGTGTATCTCACTGCCAAAATTTGCTTCTCGCTTCGCGCGAACAAATGCACACACTGTTGATTCAAAAATCCCTCCTTCGTATTCTCATGAATCGTGAGCAAATAGCCTTTCGTCTTGGTTCATTAGAACGAGGCTGGCAGGCCAAGGGAGTATTCGTGACGTAATTATCGAAAGAATATATTTGCCTGGTGGAAAACCAGCTTAAGGAATTTTATGACTTACATTCTATGCATTTATGAGAAGCGCTGGCGGGAAAACCGTATATTATTATAAAATATTGAATATATTAAATTGTATACAATGTTTCTTAGTTCACGTCAATGAATTATTGGATAAACTGGAAGAAAAGTTGAATAAGTAAGTATATCAGTTTCTTTATTTCACAGGGTCTGTGCCAGTGTAGGTAGCGACGATAACAAGACAGCGGCGGATTAAGGGAGATATACTACTACCTAAAACTACAAGCAGAATTTCGAAGTTCCCGACGAAGGGCCTTCGCTCGAAACGTCGACGTTCTGCTTGTGTTTTTCAGGTAGCTGTATCGCTCTCAATTCGCAGCTGTCTCTATTTCGCACCAAATTGTCATGCATGTCATATATAGTAAAGGCTGCTCTCCAGTCAGCGTTTTTCATACGTGCACGGAAAAGTTTAAATATTTTTAAATTTAACACTAGTATATGAATTACCTGTACAAATGCATATTAAATTATTCACAAAACTATATGCTTCCCTTTTATTCAGTTATTTCATAAGTAACATTTAAAAAGATTAATTAAACTTTTCCGTGCGTATACGCACGTATGAAAAACGCGTGACTGGAGAGCAGCCTTGACTGCAGAAATGATAGATAAACGGAAACCTTTATAAGTTCTTAAAAAATATCCAGAAAAATATATAATTTAGTATTTTGCTTTGTGTAACGCGCCAGAGTTTTCACACGTTTGAATTCCAAACAGTTTACTTCTGAGTGAGAAAGTCCTCGGACGGTAGAGATGTACAGATAGGACAGTATAAATATTAATTTTAAGTTACGTATTTCAGTTACTTGCTTTCTCATATTCTTATTCGCTTTTGTTTTGTCATTATACTATTCCTTTTCAGTCTTCAGTGCTTATTTTGTGAGAAGACATTTAAAGACAGACCGACACTGAAAGATCACATGAGAAAGAAACAACACAAGAAAATTAATCCAAAGAATAAAGAATTTGATAAATATTATCTCATAAATTATCTGGTACGTTGGCCATGATTTGTACATGTTTAAATATAGATTATATCAGAGGCATAGGCGTCGAATGCTAAGGAAGAAGAGATCTCGAAGTTGCCTGTAAAGCAGCTATAACTTTAAGCTATAAGCTTTACAGGAAATGACTTCGATAGTGGTCTGGGCGGAGTGCGGCATTGCATGCACTCCCCGGGAAAATGGGAGCAAGTTGTTTTGATGGTTACAATGAATTGCTCCGCCATTATAGTAGATAATATACTTTATTATATAATATAATAGAGAGTGAGATACTGAGAAATACACAGTGACATATTTTCCATATCTTCACTAGTGAAGATATCGATCACGTGACTTTTGGTATTGATACAATTTTTGCTTGGGACTATATAATAAACAGAACATTACACGGTGGCTTGAAGATATGAATTTTATCTTCTCGTGTTAAAAACAATATTTTACTCACTCGCTGCGCTCGTTCGTAAAATATTGTTTTCACCACTCGAAGATAAAACGTCATATCTTCGCGCCGCCGTGTAATATCCTCTATGTATACTACTAAAAATATAAATATGTACTTACGCTCTTGTCACGGATACTTTGATCTGAGCTTAATGGGCTCAAATTCCGAGAATAACGCTTTTCTTGAAAGCATTCAGAAAAATAAATCGCTTATAGATTGGAATATAATTATGTGGATAACTTTGTATAAACACAGTTAAGTATAAAGCAACCAACAAAACGTTTTCCACGTGTGATCTGGTTAGCTCATTTGGCGAGCATGTATAGTAGCATGAAGTGGTAGGGCATGTATATAGGTTCAAATCTCCTACACCGGAGCACGCCCAAGCAAGTCCTAAAATAGTTGCGAAAGAAGGTACTGTAGTTGTTGGGAATACTATAGGTCGATTAGATCTTCAGGTCTTCTCGGATAAAGGCGTTGCTCCTAGAGAGTGGCAAGACTACATTCACAATACGCCGGAGCGAAATAATCACGCCACGGGTTTTTGCTCACACATCAGTGAGCTATATTTAACAGTTATTCTACGACCTCGAGTCGACTATCGACGAGAGTGAGTGGAATAACTGTTTTATTATATACACAAGGTCTGAATTCACAGACTTTGCGGATATTTTCAATATTTTTCTATTTTGTTTATGTTTTTATCTTCGCTCTTTCCGCCAATTATTGTTTCAAAAATATATATTTTTAACTATTTTAAATTTTAAAAATTCATTTGCTAACCTGTAAACAATTTGAGAGAGTTTTTTCATTTTGTTTTTAATCTTGTAAAGGCTATTAAAACGGAACAACTTGCTGTTTTCTCGTTCGCAAAACGTCGGAAATTCAGTTTGAGCCGCCATTTTGTTTTTCTCTACTAGCAGGATATGAGCTAATATCCTGCTAGTAGAGAACCAATCAGATTGCAGAATACCTCATATCCAGACCTTGTGTATATAATGAATATATATATATATTTGGAGTAAGAACTTCAGTCATTCGGACTAGGAGAAAAGTGAAGCCAAGATGGCGGAATTGACGTTCAATAGCTCTGAAGGTTGTTAACAATTTTTATACCATTCTTCCCAGCTAATTCCAGTTTTTTCTAACAGACCTTATCGCTAATCAAGTTATTAGTTTATAAAACCATAGTAATTACGAAACTTCGGCACACTACTTGCAGACCGCGCAGACCAAAACAAGAAGAAAGGGACTGAAACTGACGTCCAATAGCTCCATCTTTGACTTCATTTTTTGGACTCGAGTTCTCGCTCCAGTATATATGGAGCTCACTGCTTCACACACTAAGTCGTTAGAGTTTCGATGCGGTTACGCAAAACGAGCTCACATAGTGAAAAAAATAATTAAAACATACTGTGCCGCTGTTCACACACCGCTGCCAAGCACTCCATTTTCACCTCGGTCCGCTGTGCTCAAAGTGACGTTTTCAAACAATTTCGCTCCTGCATAGTGTGAACGCGACGGCTAACTGTGACTTTTCCGCGCCGTTTTCAAACCGCTCCAGCGTAGTTTAAAAACATTGATCTCAATATTCATATTGTATTCACAAATGTCTCCTTTCTTTCAGGAGGTTGGTAAAAACTGGCATGATATTTTAGATGAAGACGACTCGGAAATGAATCGTAAATCCAAATACGAGTATGTGTTTAGTAGTCTTTCACTTCTTTAATTTTAGTCACTGCAGTAACTATAATATCTACACATGCACAGTCAGACTATTAGCCTTTTCCCAAAAAAGATCACAGTGCATTCTAGGGTCGTTTGGAGGGACAAAATATATGGTGACAGGCGTCAAATATGTGAAAGAGTAGAAGTATCTACTATCAAAATCAACTTTTCAGACGACCAAAAATGAAATATCTCCTTTTTACATTAAACATTTAATTTAAATGTGTGCTGCCATATTTCGTCTCCCTCCAACATGGGATTTGCGCGACTAGACCCAGGACTTTGGGAAGTGGCTAATTCGGATTGCAGTATGACGTATCATCAAAAATAATCCGCCATTTTGGGTGGCAAAAATCTTTCATTCAACCGAGTACTACACAGCTGTAGATCATTATAACTCTTCAACATGCTCAACCGAAAGCAACAGCATCAGTCAGTGTCACAGTCTTGCTTTGACGCCATGTTTGCTTTTAATTATTTTTAATTTGCTACCCAAAATGGCGGAAGTCAACAAATACGTGTTATGACGTAACTTGCAAGAGCCCGATAGAAGCAAGCTCGTCTTTCTGAATTTTCAATTTGTGTAGAACTTGGGAAGATTGGCAAGAGGAATCTATCCCTATCCATTGTTTATTTTGTGAAGTGACGTCACCCTCCACGCAGGATATACTGACCCACATGAATGTAAAGGAATTTTCTCGTGTATATTATAGCTGTTATAAAATTTGTACTCATGCAGTTGATATTTCAAGTATCGAAATTGGTGTTTTGAAGAGTAACTCTATTGAAATGAAATGAAAGAAAAATGAACCGCAATTTACACTACATACCATATAAATAACTGATGTAGCTACAAATTCTAGCTGTTGATGAAGATATATCACACAATGTTCACTGAAATCACCAAAGTCGCGGACACGTCGCAAAATAATGGAAAAGTGGAATTAAGTTACATGCCAACTGCATGTCTAATTTGCTTATTAAAAAGGATATAAGACTTTCACAGTTGAAAAACCTTGCAACAACATTTGTTAATCATGCAACTATCTATCAAATATTTTGATAATATTTTGGGGAACGACTGCCTCCGTTTGCCGCCATGCCCCACCTCTTCGGCCTCTTGTGTCCGCCACTGCAGAATCCGCACTGAGTTTGCGTTCGCTAAAAGTAAATCTTAACCTTTTGTTGGTTCTGTACATACGTCAATGACAATGCCTCGAGAATTTTCTATATACATATACGTACTGTACTTTCGTCAGTGAATTATAAAATGAGGTATCCTTAAATATGCATATTTCGGTTCATTTTTCTTGTTTCTTGAATACAAAACACTTCCCGCCGGCCTTTCCTGCCCATTTTATAAATATAAAAGTATACTGTTCTTGTTTTAAGAAATGTCACAATTTTGATTTGCTGAAGATCAAGAAAAATCAGGGTATGTTTCAATGAGAAAACTAGGATGCTACATACAAAAAATTGCACAATGCAATTATTAACATATATTGAATGAGGTTGATGTTTGTGTTTATCGGCTGAAGATGAAAACTGAGCGGATAACACAAAAAGAGGCGTTGGTAATTCTGCATATCATGTAAAACCGAATTCAATGATTGCTTCATTTTCTTGTCATTTGCAGAAAATCCACATTCCTTTCTTTTAAATATTTGTCGAAAAATATTCCAGGGGCCGTTTATTCAAAAGCTGATTATAGCTTAACAGATGGTTAACTAAAAAATCAAAGCAAACTTTCCAACAGTTCATTAACTTGGAAATATTTCTTCAGAAATCTTTTCTGGATCAATGGGATGGATTTTTTTCTGAGGTTTTGAAACAAACAGACGTGCAGAAATACACGAACTAAAACAGCAGGTTAAATTTTAACCCAGGTTAGCGCTAATCCAACTTTGAACAACCGGGCTTTGGTCGCTGTCTTTATTTTTTAAAATGCTGCCTTCCTTTCGATACTCTACAAGTATAAGAGTACATTTTTGTAGAGTACATAAAGAAGACAAATTTTAGTTATCGCGTTCAGTTTAGTACATTAAACTGTGTAACCATAACGCAAGCTTAAAAAACAGCTATTTCAATTAAGGTTGTCCACGAGCAAAGCGGAAAAGTCGAATACGAGCGCGAAAGGCTGCTGGGAACCGCTTTGAAAATTCATTAATTTGTTAGCGATTCCCAGCAGCCTTTCGCGCTCGTATTCGACTTTTCCGCTTTGCTCGTGGACAACCTTAATTGAAATAGCTGTATATACGCCAGCAAAAAAATGTAGTTGATTTTTTTCGGCATCTTGAATGTTATTTGCGGTAACGTTGTAACAATTATTGATTCGTAGCTTTTCATTAATTTGTGTTCAGGTTTAAATTTTTATGAAGAAGTCAAAATTGTCAATTATATCCGACGACAGGTACATGTTATTGTAATTCTCATGAGACGACTATTAAGATCCTTGCGTTTCACAAGCTACATACAACATTCGCGGCTCGTATTGTATCAGACATACAACGGCTGCTCATGTATAAATACATAAACCTGAAATATTTCATCATCTCGCATGCAGTACTGTAAATGCACCTGAGTTTTTGCTATTTTGCTTTAAATTTAGGTTTACAGCTTCAAGTGTATATTTTGCAAAGAGAAGTTCAATTCAAAGGAGGCTCTACTACGTCATCTAGAAGAAATGTGTCATTTTGAACTTCCTGACAGAAAATACAGTTGGGATCAACCTCAGTAAGTAATGACATACAGTATATGTTGGTTTGAAATGTATAGTAATGATATTTTAGCGACACATTAACTCTGTCTCTGCATTTGCTTAGTCAAGGACTCTTGATATGATGTCACAAATTTTGTCTTGCGATGAGCTTTTTTCTCTAGTTCTGTTTCAATACGATGTTGTACAAAGCTTGGACCCCTCGTTTTCTTTGGATTTAGTTAATATTTCCAATTCCCTTATATATTTTGATTCTTATCGTTGAGCTTGTTATTTTTATGCATGATTTTAATGGCATTTGTGAATCTAGTGAAATCTGTCTATGGAGATGTCTATCACATTTTTTGTTTGAATTTTGCGAACGGTCATGCAAAATCCTGATAAATATCGATTCTGTGCAGATTACCATCTAGTCTCTAATGACAGTTCGTAAATTATGTTCTTGTTTTAAAAATAAAAGCGCAAGAAATTTCGAAATTATACCTTCAAATTATGCTCCCTTTTAAGCTTTCAAGTTTTGACATTTAAAGCGTACCGTTTTCAGAGCTTCAGATGCGGCGCTCTTTAAAAAAATTTGATCTCAAATGCGGCGCTCATTCAAGGGCGGCGCTCGATCGAGTAAATACGGTATGCTTACCTACTGTAAGTTGCTGTAAGTATTTATTTGCCAGAATACGAATAATGTTATAAACATTCTAACGAAAGTTCCTAATTATCGTTATCAGATATTTTTTTCCAACGTTTGAGAATGACGGTCTTCTTTGTGGCTTACCCGACGACGAGGACGAGGACGAAGTCGATGATAATTTCTGTGAGAATACTGCGTGTGGAAATGATGATGGTGTTAACGGTGCGATTCATGATAGCCAGAACTACTCACACCATGGTAACATTAGACAGTATTCTGAAATTAATTATGATGTCAAGAATGAAAATACTGGTGGTATTAATATTTGTGAAAAAGACGATGATCATGTTGGTAATGTTGGTTTGGTCTGTGACCATGCTATGGTTGGTAATGATAAACAACCAGATAACAAGTGTGGTAGTGATGATTGTGGTGATGATGGTACGCATGCTAAGAATGTTAAGCATGGTACCGAAAACGAAGTCAACCAGGAGATTGGCTTTCCTGCCGTGTTGGTCAACAATGATGATGGTTGTGAAGTCTGTGACCATACTATGGGTGGTACTGGTAAACAACCAGATGACAAGTGTGGTAGTGATGATTGTGGTGATGATGGTACGCATGCTAGGAATGTTAAGCATGGTACTAAGAACGACGTCAACCAGGAGATCGACTTTCCTGTCGTGATGGTCAATAATGATGATAGTGAACTCTGTGACCATGCTATGGGTGGTACTGATAAACAACCAGATAACAAGTGTGATAGTAATGACTGTGGTGATGATGGTATGCATGGCAGGAATGTTAAGCATGGTACCAAAAACGAAGTCAACCAGGAAATTGGCTTTCCTGCCGTGATGGTCAACAATGATGATGGTGAAGTCTGTGACCATGCTATTGGTGGTAGTGATAAACAACCAGATAACAAGTACAGTAATGATAGTGGTGATGATGATGGTGAACATGATGGGAATGTTGGGCATCATTCTAAGAACAAACTCGACAATGACTCGCATGCCATGTTGGTCAAGAGTGATAATGGTGGTGATAAGAATGCTGCTAAAACCGGCTGTGACAACAAAAATGCAGATTGCGCTGGTAATGCCCAGGCGTGCGATTCCTGTGATAGTGAGAACAGTAATACCAGACAATAGAACCAAGAATCATCCGCGTGAAGACAATAGAGAGGTTCAGATTTAACTTCCACTACCGCTGCCACTACATTTCACTGCCGTATTGTATACACATCTGATTGGTTAATCGGATATATCAAACGCATCTGATTGGCTAATGGTCCCTTAATGGTAGTGGTAACAGATAGTGGACGTCAAATCTGAACCTCGCTATTTGTGATCAGAAAGACGGAGTGTAAAGCAGACGAGATTAAGAGAGCTGCATTAATAAAACTTTCCCTATCAAAGACTTCCTCTACAGCACATTGCTGAAATAGTCGAACGAGAGTACAATGCAGCCCGCGTGCAGCGAACTTCTATGATCAAAACTAAATGACAATTGAGTGGTGCCTACTGTAGCTTTGCTTTCCTTATCGGAATTACGAAATGTGTACTTGGCGGGTCAGGAAAGGACATCAACGTATTTGACGTTAGTGAATGAAGGCAGGAGAACAAACTTTCACCAATTATCCCCTTATTTCCTCTTCTATTCCCTTGCTTATTCTCACCCCAGGAAGCCACAGAATTGTTTTGCATTATAGGATATGAGGTAAGCAAGGGGATAATTGGTGAAAGTTTGTTTTATCTTCACGAACTAGCTTTGCTTGTAGTTAGTATACAATAGAATATAGAAGGAATAAAGTTTGGTATATTGTTTTAAAACATGCAACCACTCCACGTTGGTTTGTGTAGGCTAATGCATTTGCGTCACAACAAAAATACTGGGGCCAGTTGTATAAAAAAGTGATTAAAGTTAATTATAGTTAGTGGAAACGTCATCCAATAAGAAGCGCGTATTTGAGAGTTAATCACTATTTAACTACAAAATAGTAATTAGAAAAGTGCTTAAGAGTTTTGTACAACCGGCCCCTGGACAATATTGTTGCGACCCAGTTTATTTTACTAGACTGCGAGCGGTCCCTCGGGAGAAAGGAGGGACTGCTGACGCAACAGATAAAGAAACGAAATACAACGCAAAATTCCCATTTGTTGAAACCAATATGCCTGTCAATCGAATCTGATACGTAATTATGCTATAAATAATTTCCAGACTTGAATGTTGTATAACCATGACATGCTTAAATGAGAGGTTCCTATTGGATAGATTTAAATGGATATAACTGATGTTTACGCAAAGACGGAGCCAACTTGACAAGAGCGAAAAAATGGGCATATATCGTTTTTACCTTTCCCCATCGCACGTAATATCGCCCGGGATATCTAAACCATCGCTCGTAATTTTTACAGAACCTTACTACAATTGAAGAAAGTTATCCAAACCATATCCCATTATCCACAAGCTCCCAAAAACTTGCCAGGCTCTTTATCTCCCGTCCACTCTTCGTATTCGGCGTAGTGGAAAGAGCCTGGGTACGAGGTTGCGTATTCGAGTGGGAATGGAAGAGCCTAGGTTGCGAGGTTACATTGCTCACACGAATTCAATATTAATCATTGCCCATGCAGGAGATAATTGACACACTCGGATTAGGTCCAACGTTGAAATGTAAGACAAGCAGAACGAAATATTGGATAGTATGCGTATTTTATGGAGCATAATCAAACTCATTCTTTGTGGCGTGTTGGCTTTGTCACAAATACGCATATTATACATTTATATTGCATCACAAAATAATTTTCCAAGTGTTATTTATTATCAGTATTCTATCTATGTACATCAATTATTATACAAATTATGATTAAATATACAGACAGTATATCAGCTGCACCTATTACGAAGATACAGTTACAATATTTTAGAAAGAATCTCGAAAACGCAATTTGCGCAAATTTAATCCATTTTTCTAAATTTGTATTCAATGTGCACCATTAGTTTATTCAGTAATTTGATTTTTTAAATTAAATGTGGTCTGGATAACGTAGGAAACCATGTTGTGTAATGCGATAAGGTAGGAAATCGTGTTGAATAATGTAATATGTTGCATGTGTGTTATTTATATACAAATGAAATTACCTCTATATCATAAGTCAAGTCTTAACGTGTATATGAACAGAAAATTATTGTCTTAAAAATCTCTTTAAAATAATAGAGACATTACAGTAATAATTTATTCATCCAATGTAAAGTGCATGCATGCATGCATGACGCCAGTTTTGAATTCAATTATCCACAAATTAATATTGAAGGGGATTTTGTACACACGTAAAAACGCACACAAGTTGTAACAAACCTGCAGCAGACTTGTAGCAATGCTGTTCTAACAACTTGTCAACAGGATGTGTTCACACTGCTTGTTCCCAGCTTGTTGCTCAAGGTTGTTGAGCTCAACAGACTTGTTCCAATAACTTGTTATCGTCCTGTAATTTAACAACTTGATAACAAGTTGTGAGTGACATTGTCACCTTGTGTAGTAACTTGATAAAATAACAACATTGTTACAACTTGTTGACAAGCTTGCTATACAAGCCTGTTGCGAACATATCTTGTTGACAAGTTGTGAGATTTTTATGCGTGTAGATGGAAATCTCGAGTGTAACTTAAAATTACAAATTACCCTAATTCTGAACCCCCAAAATCCTAACCCTAACTTACGACTAAACCGGAAATACACCCGTTTAATATTCTGTTCGTATACACGAGGGGCATTTCACTCCAAAAATCCCGTACACAGATCCGGAAAATCCAACAGATTTTCTCTTCAAAAATCCGCTAAAAATCCGGGAAAAATCCACTAAAAAATCCGTGGATTTTTAAAAATCCGAAAATCCCGTACGCTTCGTCAAAAAATCCGCAAAAAATCCGAACAAATCCGGAAAATCCAAACAAATCCGGAAAATCCAACAGATTTTCTCTTCAAAAATCCGGGAAAAATCCGCTAAAAAATCCGCGGATTTTTAAAAATCCGAAAATCCCGTACGCTTTTTTGGAGTGAAATGCCCCTCGCGTATACAAACATCGCTATGTAGTTTACACGTACCACAGGCAGTATTAAATATTTAAATCGCTGAGGCTAAGCGACTAATTTTCCTTGGTGGGGCTTTCGGTCTAGTTTGCTTGTATATATCATTAATATGTTCATGGTTTGAATTTATATCACACTCAGTGATGTCTGTAGTGTCAGCAATCTCAGTATTTTCAGCAATTGTTTGTTGCATATCCATATCTTCTTCATCAAAAATATGATTTGATGTATCCTCATTACTATTACTTTCACTGTTTGTTCCCGCACTCTCACTGTCCGTGTCCATCCGACGATGATACTCAATGTTTTCGTTGTTTCGTTTTCTGTTGTCAGCTGGAGAATTATTTTGGCTTTTCTCCTGTTCATTTTCTTGCTCTATCAGTTCATTCCATTTGGTTTGTGCGTCTCTTAGCTTTGTTATCCAGATGTTCTAAACGAGTGAAGATCTAATAAGTACGCTGGCTAATAGAATGCATGGTTTTGCGTGCAACGTGAACTTGCAATCCTGAAAATTCTGAAATGTTTACAATGACTATTTGTTAAAATTTAGCAGAAAACGCTATATTCCATTGAAAGGATTTTGCACAATTTTTTAAGAAAACAACCATAATCATTTTCAAGGCGGGCATTCATTTGCGGGACACTTGTGGTTTTAGATCATCATTGGATATATGCAAATCATATTACAAAATAATATTTTTAATCTTCCCGGGGGAGGGAATCGAATTTTGTCAAAAATAACAGGTAGTTGCCGTGTTGGGGCATCTGTCCCAACACATTTAAAAATGATTGTAGTCATACCGCGTGTACTTACCTTGACATCTTGAGAAGACGCTTGCAACGTGTGTATAGCGATGGCTTGTTTGAAACGACTGATGTGCACCAACACGAAACCATTTTTGATTGAATTTCCTAAAATTGTAGAAGCAAAATATAACGTTGGTTGTCTAAGTACACGTTGAGTATTTTTGTTCAACAAAGTTGTATATATTTTATGGATTATAAAGAAGAAAAATTTGGTGGATTCTCGACGTAATATATAGGTCCAACATCCAACGTTGTTGGCAGGGCTGGAAAAAATATGGGACCGCGGACCAATTTTTTGAGTTCCCAGAAAATATTTCCCCAAGAAAGAAAAAAAGATAATTGTAAAAATTTATATAAAAGGAGTTACCTGTACTGTAATGACCTCAGAAATGCAATTATACAAGTGCGTCTATCTTAATAATGCAATTGTGTATAAATGTATACACTATAGAATGTGTATGACAAATGCATTTTTAGCCAGTCTAAGACACTTGATTTTCAACTTTTTTGGGGGAGGGGGAGGGAGCTTGTCCCCATGAAAATCGCCCCAGTAGTGCTTTTTTGGCATCTGTAAATTTACCTCAGGATCAGGTATTTACCTGCTGCATGTTATCCAAAATGAATATTATGTTGTACTCGTAAAAGTATTATTAAGATTCTCAGTGCACTGAAATTATTTTCTGTTAAAATATAGCATGACATTCAGTTTGACAACTTGTTGGTGTTACACACTTCGAGTGTCGATTTACTTCATTATTCGCAGAATTTTTTTCAATGTTCTCTTGTGGTCCCAGAAAGGTAAAATATTTTTTCCACCCCTGGTTGTTGGATGCAACATTGTTGGCCTCGTTTGGACACTATCGCAGAATAAGGTACACAGAAGGCCGACTTTTTGGTTTCTCCTATGATTTTCCTATGATTTTGGCGTAACCCGTAATTCGTCATCAAATGCTGACGCCATGGTCCTAGCCAGTGCGCTTTTGAGAGGCATTCACCCCCTGATAATATTCAAAATGGCGGACGTCCAGGGGGAATGCCTCTCAAACGCGCACTGGCTAGGACCATGGCATCAGCATTTTGATGATGAATCATGGCGTGACAGCGGTTACTCGAGTCGACCTTCTGTGTGCCTTATTCTGTGACATAATGTTGGGTTAATGCTGCCTGATGTCGGAAGATGTTAGATTGGGTCTGGCAAAGATGTTGGATTGGGTCTAGCATTGTTTAAATTTTCATCCAAAATTGTTGGACCAACAATGTTGGACTTGTTTAAACGAGGCATACGTCAGCACGTACTTTAGCCAATCAAAAACGTTCTCACAGTACACATATATTCTAATATACATTTCATGTTCATTTAATTTCATTGAATAATTACATTGTTACATACCTGGATAATCGTCCAGGTCGTAAAGTATAAACCTATCAATCGGTAAAGGCTGCAAGAAAATGACATGTGGCACATTAGGGCCATTTATACGAGACAAAATAAGACGCGACTTACATAAGACGCGACTTAAATAAGTGGAGTTATCGTATAAATGGTTCTCTACGGCTTTATTCTTATTTACTTGCGATAGCTATAATGTTCTTTCGGTTGTTTTTGTTTTAATATGCAAGGCTAATAATTTTACGTTGTTTCATGTTTCGGGCATGTGTAGTTAGGATTTTTGTCTAAAATATCTTAGTTAAGACGCGACTTAAATAAGAACAGCTAAAAGTCCTGTTCTTATGTAAGACGCGTCTTATCCAAGACGCGTCTTACATAAGAATTTTGTGCCTTTTATACGACAAACTCGCGTCTTATTTAAGTCGCGTCTTATGTAAGTCGCGTCTTATTCTGTCTCGTATAAATGGCCCTATTATGTATAAATCATGCGTTTCATCTGAAACTGGAAGGTTAGCTTTGTTAGCATAATCAGCAACGGTAGAATTCGCAAAGTGCCATTGGCCACAGTTACTTTCGAGATACGAGGAGTACCTGGACAAAATCTTCGTTTTCATACACTATAATCAAGTGCACTAACATGGACATTTTTAGATCCTGTTGCGCTAGAGGAACTTTCGATCAGGGAGTTTCCGTCAACATAAGCTGTAGCCTGCACTCAGGCGCAGCTGTCTCGCCTGACATCATAAAACCTCTTCACACATGCAGGTTATAAGGCAGAAAGAATGGAATTTCCATTCAGGTAATTTAGACGTGAGACCATCTTATTGCAGCAAAGCTAGATCGTCGACACACATTTACTTTCTTGATCATAATTATCCATTGTTCTTTACCTGTTTCCAAACAATGTAGGTGTAATCCGGTGCCTTTCTAGACATTAATGGAGAGGGCACCCCATGCATTTCTGGCATATTGGCTGACGCGCTGATTTTCTACAGAAAACGGTCACAAGAATTAAATTAACGATGGCACTAGCTAAAAACAGCGACAGCAATAACAACAACACAGCAAGACTGGCAACATGTACAGCAGCAATTAATTAAACACAAACGCAGCAGCAATAACAATATTAACAGCAACAACAACAACATTAGCAGCAGCAACGACATCAACAACAACATTAACAACAACAACATTAACAACAGCAACAACAACAACAACAACAACAACAACATTAACAGCAGCAACAACAACAACAACATTAACAGCAGCAGCAACAACAACAATATTGACAGCAGCAACAACAACATTAACAGAAACAACAACAACAACATTAGCAGCGCCAACAATAACAACAGCGGCAACAATAACAACAGCGGCAACAACAACAACAACAACAACAACAACAACAACAGCAGCTCAAACGACGGCGACGACAACATTAACCACAGCAGCAACAATAACACTAACACTAACAATAATATCAAAACAACGATATCAATGGCAACAACAACAGCAGCAACAACTGACAACAGCAACAGTAAAAAAATTAGCAACAAGGCTAATACAGTGACTACTAACGACAGCAACAAAAAAAAATTCAAAGTTTACCTACCCTCAGTCGGTTACCCTTCTTTGCACCTTTCGTCAACGTCAATAGTAACATGTCGTCAAAAAGAAACGCGGTGATGTCAGTTTTAGCGCTTTCTAAAAGGTAAACACACATGGTGGATAAGCAAAGTGGCTGATATATGGCAGTGTTTCATGTCGCCCGAACCATTATGGGAGTGGGCAGGTGGGAAATTTGAGCAGGAAGGTTGAAGAAATATAGAGAGGCTTTATTAGTCCAGGGGTGCAACTTGGTCCAAACAGTAGGGGAACGTGGGTTCGGCGTTGTATCCGATTTCATACACTTCGAGGGAAGAAATTACAGTGTAGGTAGTGCCAATCAAATGAACAGCTTTCATTGGTAGGGATAAAACACCTATTTTCAGGTAGCTGCATCCCTACCAACGAAAGATTGTTCTATATTAAGGCCCTGTTACACTATTGCGTATCGTACTAGCGTATACCAGCGTATGAAAAATATCACTCATACGCTGGTATACGCTGACATACGCTAGGGGTACGTTAGGCATACGTTGTATATACGTTTCAAGCACGGTTGCATACGGTGAGGCCGGTCAGACAGAAACATTTTTTAAGCATGCTTAAAAATTTTATGCGTATTCGGACGTATGGTTTATACGATAAGCTTATACTCCAGGCGCACGCTGAATACGCTAGAGGTACGCCAGATGTACGGTATTCATAGTCATACGCTGGCATTTCAAGGGATTTTTGTAATTTGGATTATTTCATTAATTTTCATACGCTTCTCATACGTTTCTCTGTTACGCAATAATGTGACAGGGCCTGTAGACTAGCATTTTTTAAAATTGCACGAACTGGTCTTCTAGGTCACTGTAACGTGCGAGAGTTTGATGGGGGGTGGGGGCTAATAGAGAAAATACGGCATATACCAATTTAAAACACAGCTGCATAAATTCCGCATTAATAATTTACCGTATAAAGTCAAAGGTCCTTGGTAAATGAGCTCTCGCTTTGGACTAGCCAAAATATCTCCACATTCTTGGTGTGATACGACATGTCTTAGGTGCTAGAGAACGCATCAAATAATGTTAGTCACCGAAAGCCTTACGGTACTATATGGAGACCAATGGTGATGTAAGGTAACGTGTAAACTATTGCTATACTGAGAGTATATGCTTATGAAGTCAACCCAACCGCAAGTAAAACAACCCAAGTTGGTTTAGCAAAACAAAATAGTTTGTTATCAATTTCTACAGTATTAACACCGTATCTGCGTGGGACTAAGAAAGAAATGCTTGTAAAATTCTGTTTCAAAATTTTATAGACCTCTGGGATAAATGATTTGGAGTCCAGTTCTCCAACAGAAGGCCAAACCAAATTTTTCTGAAGGTCTTTCAGCTTTTGATAATTTCGTATAACGGTAACATTTCCTTCAAGTTCCTCTGTAAGAAATAGAAAATTGCATGAATGTCAAATACACGTTGACGCTAGATTAACTGTTTAATTCATTATAGTTGAAGCCTATAAGGCTATTTAGTTCCCTGCATATATTAAACAGGCACCAGCAAACTGTTTGTCAGGTTGAGCTCGGTTTTCTGTGCTGCCGAATAGAAAGGTGAGTGAAAGCAGTGGCATTTAATTTGAAGTGCATATGACACAAAACTGTTTATTGTCTTAAAAGAAAGAGCTCTTTTAAAAAACTGCAGAGTAACTTCTTTAATTTGCGATTGCAAAAAAACTGCGGGTATGACAAATTAAATTATTATACATTGTAGTTGGTAAAAGCAATTTGATTGGCTAAGAGCTTACAGTTAAATCGCGCAATCACGCAACCTACAGAAAATAGCAGATAACTGAATTTTCTGTAGGTTGCGTGAAATTGAATGAGTGTACATTTCAAATGAGTGTACATTTCATAATTGTAATGTTTACTTTAACAAGTAAATATTTTAATACGTTAACATCTTAACGATAATATGTTTCTTTTATATTTGTAATTAATTTAACTATTGGACTTCCGGAGACTTGTTTATAGAAACGTTTTACTTGAACAGCTTTGCCAGAAGTCATATTGAATCATATAGTATTAAAATACTATGTTTATTATTCTTCAAATGTATAATAAAACAATTATTGAATTCGGTTTTTGCGATATGCAAAATTATCAAGGTCTCGGTAAGCGTTATCAGCCTCGCCTTCGGCTCGGCTGATAACGTTTACCTCGACCTTGATAATTCCGCATATCACAAAAACCTCATCCAATAATTGTTAATTATTTGCAAATATGCAAATATTAAATATAAACAAAATAAATCCTGAGCAACCAACACGTATCTGAGAAAATACAACAAAAGTTAATAAAGTAAAAATTCCAAGTTCAGGATTTTCAGTTTAACTGAAGATGGATAATAAAGACTATATTATTACTATTATTATGATATCCCCAAGCTTCAAGCAATAAAGCAGATCAAGAAACCGTCATATCAACTCAATATGAAGTTGTGACGTATGATGTGATATTATGCATGGTGCAATATGGAGAATTATCGCACGCTATGACGTCATACTATTGATATGTGGGAAGCAGAGTAATGTGGGAAGCAGAATTTAAAAAATAAAGACTTAATATAAACAAAAACAGCGATGAAAGGCTCAGAATTTTTAACGTACACATCAATAACATCAAAACACACCAAATAATTAAAAATAACGAAACAACACCAATGAAAGAAACGGTAATGAAGAAACAAAATGAAGAATTATCATGAATTATCATATTTCTGTCCTTTAGTATTTATTTCACAAGTTGTACTATTGCTTTATACTGATATCTTCATGTACTTATTCTTCTCACTGTTTTAATCTCGCACCTACTACACAGTCACTTACGTATGAGATCTTCGACTGATTTAATGGTTGTTGTCAATGGTGCTTGTTCTTTGTCAGCTTCGGATGTTCGTTTTCGGATATTCTAAAAAAGGCAACGAGATTAATTAAATTAATATATATACGACGAATTTAGCACGAATACAGGAATTATTTTCGGAAATATTACAAATAATTAAGGCCAATGGCAATTCATTGATGATAGTGAAAGTGAAAATTGGGGGAAAGTGCACTGCATGCATCAGATTCCCCCCTTCCAGAAAATATATTCCGCACTAGCCTGCGAGCCAGAGAGCCTGCTCGCAGGCTAAATAAGACCCAAAATCTTAACATTCCTGGGGCTCCACCCTCTTACTTCCAACGTTGCCCCAAGACTGTGCCCCTAGACCCCTGCTGCAGCTTGTTTGGGGGCGTTACGTGCCCCCTCACTCATCTCTTTAGCACACATGTCATGTGCATGATCACTAAGGAAATTGCATTATTTGTTTTTGACGAGGACTTATTGGAGGGGATTAGAGACGGGGGGAGGGGGCGTAATAGAGAGAGGGCACATGATTCGGAACACAGTCAATTTACACTATCAGATAACAAAATATAACATGAGCTGAATAATCATTAAATTTATTAATAAATCTAATGAGTAGACATGTATTTCTTTATTGTGAAGGAGGGGAAAGAGGGGATAAATTCCTTTGGGGAGGGGTTAATAAAGAATTTACGTTAAAAGGAGATGCATCGCGCGAAAAAATCAAGCAAAACATTGAATGATTTAGAACCATTATTACATGAAAGACCGTTCTAAAAATATTACCTTTAAAAGGAGTGGATACTTTGTAAGATGTTGAAATGGGGCGACCAAGAGATCAGTAAGTTTTAATCTGTTACATCTTGGATCACTTTCACACCACTAGAACACGATCAAAATATGAGTATGCTATATAGAAAAACGTTGGCGATCGCAGTATAACTTGTAAGAATGTAACAACATGACGTAATGTTACATGTCTATAAGCTGTTATATATTAGCACCATTTGTGCTGGTGGTGCTGGTATACAATCCTATAGTTATATTATATACCACTCCAATTAAGAGATTAAGATAGTCATTCGTATTTCGGGTATATCCCTGATGTGTTTTTTTCGCCATGAGATATGTCGCGTAATTGGTATATAAAGACAGATTACCTTGAAAAAGTCTTGCACATGTTCCGTTTGCTTGAGTGTTTCGAGATAGTGTAACGTCTTGGAATAACTGAGACAATATCTTTCATATTGCGGATGAACTTTCCCTTTGAACTAAAATACGTTAAGACCATTTTCAGTAAACATGTCATAGAGCCAACAGCACTGGACAACCTAATGCATGTTAATGCATGTCTTTAACAAGAGCTCAATGTGCATGCGGTTGTCTTAATTAAACATTGAAGGTGTTTGGCACAAGTGGAAGAAGTGTCGGAACCTGGGAACCAAATTCCTAGAACTTTTTGGGGGATCTACATTTTTACAGAAATTTTCAAACATATTTTAATGTTTGATAGCTAATTCTGAAAATTACACTGATTGAATATCTAAATTACTAAATACCTGATTATTGCAATGATTGAACGCCTAAAGCTTCGGATACAGGAGCAATATTTTTGCTGTGATGGTTACGCAATGGTTGATAACAGTATTAGATAGATAGATAGATAGATAGATAGATAGATAGATAGATAGATAGATAGATAGATAAACTTTATTTAACCACGCTAACATTGTCAGCATAAGCTGGTTTCCACAATGGGCGTGTAAAAAACATTAACAAATTGTTACAAGTAAAATAATAAGGAAGTATTAACATGCAGAATATAAAATTATTAAAATATATACAAAAAGTTTGCTATTTACAATGATGTGGTTTTCTTTATAAGCTATAGGTAGGGATTTTTCTTTTAAAACTTGAAGCGAATTACTTTCTCTTATATTTTTTGGAAGAGAGTTCCATATGGAAGCTCCATCATACATGTAACTCTTTTTCATATTGTTTGTGTTTGGCTTGGGCAAACGTATGGTACTTGAGCTGTTACGAAGACTGCGGTTTAATATTTCTTTTTTGAAAGTAAATAATTCTTTGAGACAATTTGGCCCCATGTTATTTAGCGTTTTAAACATTATTTTTGCCTTTGCTTTCACTCTTTGTTCCTTGAGTGGTTCCCATCCTATAGTGATGGGCGATACCGAGTACTCGGTATTCGATACCAGCGATACCACAAACAGCGGTATCGGTATCGATTACTGAGGTAGTATCGTTCGATACTTGCACCCTTTTTTAAACGACTTGTTTAATTTCACTTCATGGTTGAATAAGACTTAATGAACCCATAAAATAACTCTTAGTGTTCCAAATGTGGTGCGCCAAGTCATGTATAGAAAATATTTATTACGTTTCGGGCTTTTGGTTTACTTATAACTTTATTTAGGTTACATACCTATCATATCTTTATTCTGTGTTACATACAGTAATGTAAAATGTTTTTCCGCTGACCGGCAGGTATCGAAAGTAGCCGATACTAGCAATTTAAGTGCTCACTTCCGGTATCGAAAATTGAAATTTTGTGTTTACTTTGGTATCGAAATAGGTATCGGTATCGGCCGATACCGATCTTAAAAGTATCGGTATCGGTATCAAATTAAAAATCCTGGTATCGCCCATCACTACCATCCTAATATATTTAGCACAGTTCAGTTGTTGATCTACCTCATTAGGCACACATGCTATTACACGAGCAGCTCTGTTATGAAGTTTTTGGAGACGCGTGGATTGCGTTTCACCAAATATATTCCAAACTTCACAACAGTAGCTAAAGTATGGTTGAATTATAGCATTGTATACGGAAACGAGTGTTTTTTGATCAACATATTCTTTAATGCTTTTAAGAGCGTATATTCCAGATGATATTGCCGTCGCACAAGATAGCTACACCTGCAATATTTCACCTGGAATATACGTCTCTATAACGCTTTTCATTGGCTGGTCAAGAAACGTGTCAATCATCAACCTTGACCTTCAATGACCACACCTCCCAATTTTTGACAATCATTGCCAAAAATCAAATGATTTGAAAGTTTGGCAATGATTGCACAAAGTTTTGCCGTCACAGAGCATAATACACAAGCAAATGCAACGATGTTTCCACCATTGCATTGCCGTCGCAAGAAAAATATTGCCCGTGTAGATCTGTAGCTTAGATGAATCTACTAACTCGATACCTAAATTACAGCGGAACATTTCGGAACGAAAATATTCATAAAACCTGCAGTAGGGAATTTGTTTTTAATCCTGTAAGACTGTAGCTACTATGACTACTTCATGCAGATTTATTTTGTGTGTCTTAGGGACGGACCATTATTTTTTTGGAGGGGGATGGAAAATTCTTAAAAAAATTGTTTGCAAAGACAAAAAAGTGCAAATAAATTGTTTGCACACATAGAGAAGAGGAAAAAAATAGTTTGCAAGCTAATGAGATTATGCAACATCAACCAAGGTTTAACTAGAGGGCACTCAGAGACTGCATACCTCCGCCTACGCGCAAAATATTGAAGTAATCTATTGTTATTAGAATTTGAATGGCTGGTGCATATATTATGCACGTCCTAATTACGCATTCAGTATAAAGTTTTATTTAATTGACAGGGAAAAGCAAGACAAACTTTTGTTATTTCTCATTCAATTTTTAACCAAATTCAACCAAATTTTAATCAGTTCTTCCTTAGCCGATGGGAAATGCACTCACAAAATTTTGTACGGATATGTTTGGTATTTCTTGAGTTATCGTGCTCACAGACAAACACACACACATACACACACACATACACACACACACACACACACACACATACACACACACACACACACACACACACACACACACACACACACACACACACACACACACACACACACACACACATACAAACCCAGATGATTACATAACCTCCTGGCGGAGGTAATAACAATGAACAGAGTGCTCACCGACATACCCAGGGTCTTCACCCGAAAAGCCCTGGGATGGAAGACGCTGGGTACATGTCGCAATCTACATATGGGTTATAAATATTAATCTATTGAATACAGTCATCTACTATCCCCCTCTAATATATTATCTCACAGAAAGGTCTCTTTTCAAAAAATGCCCCCCACAGGAAAATCCTTAAAAAAGGCCCTGACCAGTATACAAAAAAAACTATTAAATGTCTGTTTACATATTAAATTTATACTTCTGACAACACCACATGTTGTTCGATCACACATGCAATAGGGCACAAATTAAACTATATATATCAATTTATAATGAAATCCACAGCAATCAGATGGACAAAAAAAATTGTTTGCAGAAGGAAGCAGGCGCAAAAAATTGTTTGCAACGACAACAACACCAAAAAAAATTGTTTGCGTTGACAAAATGTCCATCCCCCCCTCCCAAAAAATAATGGTCCATCCCTTATCAGCCTTAAAGCCATATAGTACTTCATACGACAACACATCTTAAAGAACATAATCCATGCAAGGTAAAAATCCCCATAATATTATATTGTAATCTCTTGCAGAAAATTTTGAGCCCTAAACTCAGGTTCCCAGAAAGAAAAACCTTTTCCACCTTGGCTCATTTTTTATTGCAAAAATCTGCTCTATCGTCTTGAATTGACTGCACAGGAAACAGCCAATCGTGGTCGAAACAGAAAAATAGAATTACCTTGGTAAAAGCGGTGACTACAGACGCCGTACTCCCAAATTGATCTTTCTGTTCGTTTTTAAATAAATGAAGAAGATCTTTGGCGAACTTTGCACTGACCTAAACAAAGTAAATCAATGAAAACTCTTTGTATGTGTAAAATGAAACAACTATGAACACGTGCCCTTTATAATACAAAAATTAAATACAAGTTTGAAAACTCAAAATAAAGTAGTGTACAAGTTACTATCTATTAGTCACGTTTTGCTCGATACACTGGTTTTTCAGTAAATGAATGCAGAGACCAGTCGAGTTACATTTACGATCCAACGTTTCAACACACTTGTCTATACTTTGCGGCTTGTAGCGCCTAGCGGGCGAAAACATGGGTTGTCTTGAATGAACAAACTTATTATCTATGTGTATCGTTCTTGGTATAAAATATATCACACTTCATTTCAAACAAAATCATTATGTATTCCGCCATCATATGCGTGACGTCACAACCAGGGTAACAATATTTCGTATCTTTAGCAATTCTCAGGCCATTTTAATGCTAAATCCTATTTTTACTATTGTCTATTCTAAAATTAAAGTATAAGCTATGTATAAGCTTTCCACTGATATTATTTTTTAGTTTTAAAATGTCTACCCTGGTTGTGACGTCATTTAACTAGATCTAATTATAAAACAAGGTGGCGGATGGCAGGATGTTTTGGTTTCAAATATCTCAACAACAAAATATGATAGTTTGGGAGAATTGGTAAAAAGATTTGTAAATAGTTTTAACATTCTTTCAACTTAGGCAAACATAATTTTTGTTAATTTTCCGTCATTGAGTTATCACGTCGGTCAGCTTTTGTGTAGTTGAGCAATAAAAATACTTCAAGTTTCCAAATTGTAATAGTATTATGTTATTCTGTTAGGAAATGGGAAATGCACAAATACTGTAAAAAGAACTGACAAAAAGTTGTGAATGAAGCACGAGTTACCTCACACAAATCCTCCACATTCGAAAATATCTTTTTATCGTCGACAGTCACAAGAAATCCTTTATTTTGGATATCTCGAAGTGGTTCCAGAAAACACTGAAAATGTAGAAGTAGATTTAGTTTTGATCAAAGCCAGGCATAAAATACATCAGTTGGACGTTCTGTTTGGATGTGGCGCTTAAAGAAACAATGAAGCTGTGGTTGGCTAATCGATGAAAAGAAATTATTAAAGTGCATAGGGCACAAAGAAAATTATTTTCTTAAATGATTGACCACAACTTCTTTTTGAGATACTCCTTTTCTTCAATAAAGCAATGCAACCAATGTGACGTCATGCATGAATAATGATATTAAACGAAATCACTTGGAACAAGCTTTATTTCTGGTAACTTTAAATAATCTCATTTGATGAAAATAAAGATAAAGAATCTTCACTAATATCTCATTACATGTAAATGACGTCACTGTTACGTCATTTTAATAGTTGCATTGCTTTATGAACGAAAACGAAATATCTCAACAATGAAACATGTTAATAAAAATTTTAGAAGAAATTGCTCCTTTAGTTTTTAAGAGTTCAATCTGTAAATCAATAAATCTTCATATTGTTTCAGAGCGTGGTGTCCTCGCGTCACGCGTGAGATACTATAATATCCCACGGTGGATCTACCGTAGGATATTATAGTATCTCACGCTGCATTGCGAAATCATGAATTTGAGTGAAATACCGTAAAAAATCACATTGTCACGTGGTACAAATGTTGTTCTTTTATTGGACAATTTGAATTTGAGGTACAATATTATAGTTAAACATACCTCTTTAAGAACAAGAAGATGTGCTGTTAAATAGACAACTTCACTGTGGAATAACTCCCAGACTGCTTCGCGCCGTTTCATTTCTGACTCAGGTAAACTAACATTGTTAGCTTGTGATAGTCTTCTTGACTTTCCAGTTTCATCTGTCACACTCATTAAATGTGTCCAATGAGTTTCCTACGAGGAAAAGAACGTTACTCAAATAAGTGTCATCCAGGAGGAAAATTCAAATCACGCAAGGTAGATGGTAAACTGCCTTGAGGACGGGCCTCCTAACGACGGGCCTTCGCTTGAAAAGAGTTTTTCATCTTTTGGATAAACACTTTAAAATCGTTCTAAAAAGATCTGAAGCAAGAAAATACGCCAGTATGCAATTAGCCATTTCCCAAAGTCCTGGATCTAGTCGCGCGAATCCCATGTTGGAGGGACAAGAAATATGGCAGCACACATTTAAATTAAATGTTTAATGTAAAGAGGAGATATTTCACTTTTGGTCGTCTAAAAAGTTGATATTTGATAGTAGATACTTCTACTCTCTCACAAATTAGACGCATGTCACCATATATTTTGTCCCTCCAAACGATCCCAGAATGCACTGTGATCTCTTTTGGGAAAAGGCTAATATATCTTCGTCCTTCGACTTTTGACCGCCATTTTGAAAAATTGCTTTTCACGAAAGTATCGAAAAACACGAGAAAGTATATGTTCCTGCGTTTTTCCTTGGCTTTGCCTGAAGGTGCCATGACTCCTAACTGTAGTTTTTTTTTAACATTAGGTCAATATAAATTTTTAATAAAAAAGAATATTCAACAATTTAGATGAATTTAGATGTTGATTCGGTGTCGAATCGATGAATTTAGATGTTGATTCGGGTTAGGGTTGCGCCATGAATTTAGATGAATTTAGATGTTGATTCGGTACACATTGATGTACTAGTAGTCCATACATCGTCACATTGAGTCAACGCTCTGGTCAGGCTGAACAAAACGTAATTGAAATAAAAATGAAAATTCAGAAAATTAACGATGTGCTTACTCTGTATAGTGAGAGTTCAGTTTCCGAAGCGATACGAGTAGGTCGGGATATAGTTGATAGATACTCCTTGAGATCTTCTGACATACGAAGTCTATCTTTCTGAAGTAACTATATCAGTAGAAGAATATGGAATTAGGCTCCGAATGTTCAGATTTGAGAACTATTGTTAATGACTCTTACCAACTTCTTTTTATTTTTCAATAGTGATGACCATCTCGAACTTCGTTTATCCTCTGCAAAACGAAAGAAGCGAGAAGGTCTGAGTTAAAGGTTTTATACCCCCAGTGTAATTCTCATCAGTGGCGAGGCTAGCCATGGCAACTGGTCATGCTATGCTAATAAATCTGCATCTAAATAGGCTAAAGACAATACATTTCTAAAGGTTTGAATAATGCAAATCATTACAAATTTGCATAGCATGAATTGCTATGGCCAGTTTCGCCAAAATGGTGGCAAGATCCCGTCAGTATTTCAGCAGTAATATGAGCAAGATCCGAAGGTACATCAAAAATTAAAATTATTGTAATTGCCAGAATTTAGATTGAATAACCAAAGTTGTGTTACTTTACCTAAAGCTAAATGAGACCCAAGCTGTCTCTTGCGTCCTTCAGAATTTTCTGTATAAATATACGTTGTTCAAGATGTTAAATGTTGTTCAAGATGTTTTTAATCATATATTAATTAATCACTAAGGGCTATAAGTCAAAATATTTTTTGATTTCAGTAAAAATTTCAATTTCCAACCTAACGGTTGCTCTGTTGTGACATGAAGATCCATTTGCATTGAAGATGTGGGCAATTGCACAACAGCAGAACCACGCCTACAACCATGTCTCTTGCTTCGAGCTGCTTCGTATGCTTGACTAGAAACAAACATAATTTATTTAGTATCCTACTACTATAGTCTATACTACAGTTCCATATGCTTGTAAAAAAACACAGCTCATAACTAAAGATGCAAAATTATCAGTTTTAGTGGACACTTCGCAAAATGGGGCGAATTTAGGTTGTCACCATAGAAATATATTCGTGCGTGAAACTTCATGTTACGAAATACATATTACACCTTCATGTGCGCCTACCATGCCAGAACAGGTGAACATGAAAACGAGGCCACTGAGGGAAATGTGGTATAAACGGTGAGGACCATTTAATCATTCTAATGTTTTATGATTGGATGTGTCAACCTCTTCTTGAGTAAGTTTGAGTAAGATATATATGTGCACGCTAAGTTTATCATTTCTTTATTGAGCATCTGGTAATCATCGGATGTACTTACAGTATGTCTTCCTCATCGTCACTTTCATGTGATAACTAAATCAACAAACGAAAAGTATTCTTTAGTAGAGTGTTTCAATAAGTGTTACGAGGCGATGGTCAACCTCAAAAACTGCTCACACTTATGAGTGTCATCCACCATTAGATAGATAGATAGAGACCGGCTTTATTTAAAGAGGGTGACACTTAATAGTACGAAGTACTAATGAACTTGTGGCCCTCATAAAATTTACAAAAAATTAGGGAGTATATCTGTTGTCTATTTACAATATTTATATATATATATATGTTATAAATCAATATTCAGTTGACTTTCATTTATATAAAAGAGAACATTAGCTATATTACAATTATATATTACTTAAATTTGAAATCAGGAAAAGAAGTAAATTGTTTAAATTCACTCTGGTGCGTACGGAAGCAATTATACCGGGTGGCCCAAAAAAAAGTACTCCTGTTTGATTCGTAATAACATCTAAACAAGTATAGCTTTTAAAGAGAAATAACTTGCATCAAATAGAGGAAGGACTAACTTAGACTTTGATATATTACAGTTGTATTTCACTTAAAAATTCACGGAGATATTAATCTTTAAATTCGGGAGGATATTTCTGGATGTGTCTGAAATATGCAAAAATCGGCGTATCAAATATTAATCAAGATTTGCCCGACTGAAACATGCACTATTACCAGTAAATAAATGACACTTGACAAATTGTTTATTATGAAACAAAGTATTATTATATCTACAAAATACAAGCAAGATTCATTCGTCCGAAATTCGCGTGTGTTCCTAGCACGAATACGTTTCCTTATTTCATGAGACCACTGCATCGCGAAGGATCGTCATTGGATCGTTCGTAGTTCTGAATTAGGGCATGCTGTCACAACGGAATTGTGAAGCTCTTCTAACTTCTGCAACGTTCTGAAATCTTGTTAAGAACACCCAAACTCTTTTGCCGTTTCTTAATCTTGGCAAGTTCATGGAGTAAACTGAGAATTATATGAAACACAATCAAACCATACAACTCCATAAGACATAACAATTAAGCAACTCCCCAGAGACATGCAACATTTTTGGAACAAAACGTAACAAAATAGTAGCGTTGATACGGTGATGTGTATTTGCAAAAAGCAATATTATTTCCTTCAATAAAGAATATTCATCCTGCTCTAACCGAGAAATAATCTACTCAGTCTGTTTGAACCCATTAAAAACATAAAAAAATTAGGCTATTTAAGAATACGAAAAATTTAAGCGCCTGCCTTCCATGGTCAGTCTTTCATGTACATTTAAGTTTGCAAAGACCTAATATTAAATACTTGCATAATTTCGAACGTTCATATTTCAGGAAACAATGAGCTAAGACTTACATGTAAGATGTCTAAATCTACGCCATATCCCTTACAAACCTTAACGATAATTCGCTGAAATACAAGTTAGCCTAATATGTCATTAAGCAAACAAACGCTGGAGTTAATATTTGATATGCCGATTTTCGCTAATTTTAGACACATTCCAAAATATGCTCCCCATTTTTAACATTAATATATCCGTGAATTTTTAAGTTAAATACAACTGTAATATATCAAAATCTAAGTTAGTCCTTCCTCTATTTAATGCAAGTTATTTCTCTTTAAAAACTTTACTTGTTTAGAAGTTATTACGAATCAAACAGGAGTACTTTTTTTTGGGCCACCCGGTATAATAAGTATTTAAAACAGTTAATGGAGCTAGCAGAACGGAAACTTAAAGGTAGTCTGTTCCAGAGGCCTATAGCGGTTATAGAAAAAGTTCTTCCTGCTTCAGTAGCTCTATTGTATTTCGGAGTTACTAAACTTAAATCAGCACTGTGAGTGTTCCTCGAATGTTGTTGGCTATTTAAATTTAATACAGTCTGTTTAAGTACTCCGGAGTAGCATTAATAGTACGCTTGTAGATCATAATACATTTTCTGATATCCGACTCTACGTAAAAAGGTAACCAACCAAGATTATTAAATAGATTAATCGAGGAATGGCGAGGTTCAGCGTCAAGGATAATTCTGGCACAGCGTTTTTGAAGTTTGAAAATTTTAGTGATATTGTTCTTACTACAGTTTGTCCAGGTTATACTACAATAGAGAAATAGAGGTTTGATCATAGCATTGTAGAAAAGAATACGTTCGTTTCGAGGCAGGTAGGATTTTATAGACTTCAATATTCCAATACGTTTCGATAGTTTTATTGCCATTATATCAACATGAGTGTCAAAGTTTAAATCTTCATCAATATTAAAGCCCAGTAATTTCACAGTGTGCGCTTGTTCTAATGAATCATCGTTCAATTTAATATCGAGAGTTTGATTTTCAGGAGTAAGCTTAGCTTTAAGACGTTTACCAGAAATCAGAATGGTTTTAGTCTTAGTGGTATTGAGAGGCAGTTTATTGGTAATGGCCCAGTTTTGAACGTTAGAGACTTCCAGAGATAATTTCTCGTTAAGTTCATTAATATCATTATAATCAGTGGCAGCGAGTAAGGTAGTGTCATCAGCGAATAAATCTACTTGGGTGTTGATATGTAGAGGCAAATATAACTTCCCATAATATAACCGCTTGGCAGGAGTGACATGTTGGATTAGGCAGATTGAGCAGATTAGGATGGTGGGAGTGAGTCGACAAATTTCCAGCATTGATGGGCCCTGGATTTAGTAAAACAGCGACATCACCAGATCTTTGTAAGATAATAGCAGCTAGAGAATATTTTAATAAACAAATAATCTTGCCTCCGACAACAACCATTGGCAATGAGTTACTTTTTCTAGGTACTTTAGTAACAGAAAGATGGGGATGTTTATGAAGTTTTTTAGCGGACAAAATATCTGAAATGTATCAATCGAGTTTATGCGCTATAAATTGATGTTATGTGCTATACATTGATGTTATGTGCCAATACATCAATGTCATAAACCGATACAACTAAAAGATAAACCGATACAACTAAAAGATAAACCGATATAAATAAAAGATGAGGAAACGGAAGTAAATACCAATAAAAGATGAGGAAACGGAAGTAAATACCAATAAAAGATGAGGAAGCGGAAGTAAATCGGAAAAACGGAAGTTGAGCGACGCAGCAAAATTGCGCGTGCCAAGTAGTGGCGCCAAGCTGGTGAATACATATTGAAAAACAAGGGTAGAACTGCAGGCCAAACTAGGGCTAGGCAGAAGAGAGACAGATAGGGCAGAAGACCAAATGTTCAGGATTTTGTTCAGTCAATCTTAAACGCGGTAACCAATTTACAGCATTCTTCGCAAACACGTGAAGAAATTCTCACGTACTCAGAATTCGTATGTACGGTGTGTACCAAATAATGCGTCTGTGCCGCAGCCAGCCTTTCAGGGATACTGAATTTTACACACATGGCTATCTCCTTCTCTCGCCTTATATATTTTACATGCCTCCATACAAGCTTTTTAGTAGAGCGAGATCATACTCCTCGAGTATGAAATTTTTTTACACCACAGGATATTTTACAGATACAATTTCACACACGCATCTCCAATTTTATGTTCGAAAAGTCTACACCTACACTTATATTTCTTAGGTTTACATTTATACATATACAAGTGGTTTTCTATTTTTTATTCGCAGGCTTATCAAATACAACATTATTTTCACAAGCATAAATTGTGCCACTGAACACGAGGCCATCACACTATCATATTTCACACTACATTTTTTATCTAACAGTTAGGGACTATTGTGGCATAAATTTATTACTAGGACACCAATATGGTTCTCTTTACCTATATCTAAACTTAAAAAGCAATGTGGTTAACTGATCTTCTGTGACTTGTATTCTTGGCCTACCAACGAGCCCGTTTCTTTCCGCCGTACAAACCGCACGATCGTAAGACTCTTCTAGTGAAAAGCGTTCTGACGTTGTTGTTAAAACACTCAATCATTGAGTCTCAATGTGCGTTCATACTCTTCTAATCTACGACAATAAAAGTCTGGCGAGTCACAACGAACGAGTGCGACACTTTGTTCAGCATTTCTTATTAAATCAACCAATTCACAAAAAACGTTTTCTGTATTAGGAAGCCAAATGCGTGGTCCAAGAGACGCCATTGTTGTATGTCGCCGCGTCGCTCAACTTCCGTTTTTCCGATTTACTTCCGCTTCCTCATCTTTTATTGGTATTTACTTCCGTTTCCTCATCTTTTATTGGTATTTACTTCCGTTTCCTCATCTTTTATTTGTATCGGTTTATCTTTTAGTTGTATCGATTTATCTTTTATTTGTATCGGTTCATCTTTTAGTTGTATCGGTTCATCTTTTAGTTGTATCGGTTTATGACATCGATGTATTTGCACATAACATCAATGTATAGCACATAACATCAATTTATAGCGCATAAACTCGATTGATACATTTCAGATATTTTGTCCGCTAAAAAACTTCATAGATGTTTGAGTTGCCAAGAGTTCTCAATTTGGCGACCCACAAAAAGATTTAAATTATTACTTTGATATAGTAATGGATGACTTTCACAGCTATTTATACAACATATATCGATTTGTTGAATCAGGAGGACAAGTAGAAGTGTCTGCCAAAAGTGATCACTTAAATTAATGCCATATTACTACTTAGTCTCAGAGTAATAATGGTTAATTACCAGTTGTTGAGTTGGAGTCAAAGGTCGAGTAGATTAGCTATCATACACCGTAATCCCAATAGGTTGTTGCTAAGAAACACGACGACGGGCAAAATTTAAATATGAAAGATCAAACGGTCAAAATAATAAAAAGAACAATAAATCACGAACTGTATATTTAAATGACACGAAATTCACACACGAGAACAGTAACACAAATAATAGTCCAATGTTAAAGTTTCAGAGGAATAGCACCAACTATGACAAAGATATGTTAGCGTAAACCAAAAACCCATATTATAGCCAGCGACACAACAAATATGATACAAGGCAACAACAAATAATCCAAAATAATTCCTTTCGATTAATTTAAACCAATTTCAAAATGCGTCGAAGAAGCGAAGCAGGTCTTTAGCTTTATTATGATAAGTAGACAATTAGTAAAGATTAACAAATGAATATTTTAACCACAAAATAAAACGGAGGTCACTTTGCTCGTCACGTTAAGCTACCATTGTTGCTCGAGTTCAGAAAAGCGCGCAAAATCACTCGCCTTCGGCTCGTGTTTCGCGCGCTTTTCTTAACTCTCGCAACATTCCCAGGTGTTAGGATCAGGCCATCCAAACACGCAAACCATAAAGTAATTGTATATTACCGACAAGGATTCATTAATTTGCCGATCACCTGACCACTCCCCTCCTCCTCTAGTGCCTGACATTTCAACTCAAAAGATTTCATGAATTACATCTGAAGTTGTTACATATTTATTGGCTTAAAATTTTAAGATAACATTTTCTTACTTCTCATAAATAGCCCTAGCTTATAACAGCAAGCAAATTCAACCAAATCTCTCAATTCCATTTATTTGCCTCCATATATAAACCTACATTTATTTTCTCACTCTGACAACTGCAGATTGACCACAATGTTAAAGTTATTTTATGACATTTCTATTTACCTATAACATGATGAGTAATTTTATCAAGAAACTTTGGGTTACCTGCGAAATCTGTCCGGTGCTCAGCATTTTTTGAAATTTCCGAATATCATTAGCAACATCGTTTGGACTGTTCTTAATATTTCGTCGACGTCGTGTCTATAAAAAAGGTGAAAGTGTTACTGCGAATGTACTCATTATAATTATCCTCTTTGATTCTCATTTACAATGATAACACCAAAATATTCTCAAATGTAAAACAGCCGCCTGGTTCAAGAAAGTTCGAATCTAGTGGTCAGTTTAAAATCGATAGTGATTCTGAATGAGAAAGGTTGTGGTTCCTCCTCTCTGCACAGTTATGGTTCTTTTTATGTGCCGTCGGAAACTAATTGCTATTGCATGAGGGAGGGGGTTCAACTGGCGTGGGTTGTTTTTGAAGCCTTAGAAGAGAGGAATTTTTATCAAAGTTGTGAAGCATTTGCATTTAAAATTTTTGTAATGCAATGCACTTTGTACCTTTTTACAACCTTATCCCCCAGTTTTCGCTAGCTCTGTATGCAACTACAAGCATGAAGGAATTGGTTTTGTAAATTAACGAAAACCTATTACAGATGAGTTTATTGTAACTGCCTGCGCAAGAAAGAAATCAACTATACAAGTTGGCAATGAAGTACAATCCTGGACGGAGAAACCGTATAGTAAAATATGGCGGACATATTGAACATATATGATAAAAATGCGCGAGCCCCAGCACATTTTAAAATCTCTTTAAAATCCTGCATGACATTTTAACAATATTTACTTCTTAAAAACCTAAAATATGATGCATTTTTGCATTCTGAAGTTACGAATTTTGCTCGCTGGTACTAAATGAGCCCAGAGTGGCGGATGCATCATTATATATTATCAGCATTAAGTGAGGAAAGGAGAGACTGATTACGGTTAGATCAGATAATTTTGATCAATGGCGGCCCACATTCAAGGAAATGTACTATACTGAATAAACGTGCAGGTAAGCAGAATATTCGAAACTTACAGTAGCTGGTGATGTAGACATTTCTCTGTTGTCAGAATCCTCGGAAGAACTTGCTCTTTCAGAATTTTTTCTACTCTCGCTCTTTTTCGACTTTCGATCACTTTTGGAAGATTCAGCTGGTAAAGATCTTGTTGATATGTGATGTTCTACGAATTTAGATCTTGGAAAATCTGCCGTATTTCTCCGAGGGCATCGTGGAGACGTAGACTGGAAAATAAGGATCCGAAAATAGAGCGTTAGTTTTGAATCTGTTTCCAGTAAAATAATCTGCGCCCATGTTATCTTAACATGTTTTGGTAAGGAAATATACGGAAAAGGCGAATGGCATGCAAGCAAGACAAATGTACAAATTAGATCAAAGCAAAATGCACTCTGCAAATCAGAGTCAACTGGAAGAAAGCACTCTGAGAGATGGAGGATTAACACTATGACATAATGGTGGTCATCTTTGCATGGGGAAGGCCGGTTACTTTCAAAGAAACCCCAATTGAACTGCAACTAATATTGCTTGGTGGATGTGCAGAAGTGATTCTGCCAAAGAGACTATTCACCTCCGGACAAAAACAAAATGGCTTCCCGTTTCATTCCGATTAGAGACGTGAGCAAATTTTTTTACTATAAACGAAGCTGCGGTTTCGCCAAACACGAAGAAGCTATTTCTAGTAAATAAAATTACTAAAAGCTTGCAAATACTGTTTTGTTGTATACTTGTATATATTGTTATAACTATTATACGGGAACTGAAATACAAATTGTTGTTTTGTCACGGTATATGCTAAAACAACTATTCACCCTCACTTTGGGAAATAATTATTAAATATCTGCAATCGGTGTCAGTGAAGGCTGAATTCTATCCAGCACACATGAGATCTAGCTAGGGTAATACAGCTGCGCGTTAGACAGACAGAGAGACACGTTCGCATAACCATGAATACGGGCGTAAAAAAAAGAGAAACACATTCATTATTAGTAGCCATCACCTGTTTTTCCTTTGACGTCAAATCATTGTTATTTCCTTCGATATTACTATGCGATCGAATTCGTTTTGTATTCAATGCTGAAGGTAGAGACTGGGAATGAATATGAAGTGCTTGAAGCGAAACATTCGGTGGAGCAAGAAAGTTTTCAGAAAAGTTTTTCTACAAAAATGGAACAGAAGAAATTATATTACATAATGCATAAAGGTGAATAGTAAGGTTTCGCTCACATTTTCGTAAGTAACTAGTGTAATACTATACAGACGAAAATTAAGAATGTCAAGGGAGAAATCAAAATTAGGCAATCGGGTGCCAAACACAGGAACCCACTGGAAAAAATATCACAATGTGGTACTGTATGTATTAATTATTAATACCACACATCTGGGAAACATCCTTTGTTTACATTACAGATCATTTGTTTACATTGGGGCCCTGACGTCATATGGCGTGATTTTATACTATTTTCGAAAATTTCGGAGAAAAAAGAAAAGAAAATTTCTGTACATACAAATAAATATAAACAGAAAGCCATTGGAAATTTCAAGTGGAACGACACACGTACCAAGCTCGGGAAACTTTCTACTGTGTCTCGACTTCCCTGCTGGCAGAGGTCTCTATTTGTGCTGGGAAGCGAAAGAGAAGAGACCTCTGCCTAGACACAGAGGCCTAGATCTGACACTTTCTCAGTCCATGATCGTGGACGAGTCAAACTAGTTTGTAAAACAAGTTCTGAAACCGGTTTAGAGAAACAAATAGTACGCATGCTCAGAGCTGAATTACGCTGTAATGACATTGAGCCCGTAGTGTCAAAATGGCGGCTTGTACAGCGTGGTCATTTCGAGGTTTTTCATGCTGTTTGAAAGTGCTCTAAGTTATGTAATTGATATTTGCAAAGATGAAACTGTGAAAGCAGTGACAGAAGAACAAAAGAAAGCAATCTTTTCTGTTTTATCGGGCCGAGATACATTTGTTTGCCTTCAAACTACGGTAAGTCTTTGAATTACCAAGTTGCTCCCGCAAAAACCGGTTTGATATCACGTGGTGAACATCACTTGTTGTCATGGCAATTTTTGCACATGCGCGACAGAAAACGTGTCAGATCTAGGCAGAGGTCTCTTCTTCTTCGCTTTCCTGCACAAATAGAGACCTCTGTCAGCAGGGAATGTCTCGACTTGAGTTTGGTGAAACATTCATAATACCGATTACTCGCGTGCAAAATAACGGTATGACGAATAGTTCGGCTAACACGTGGCGATTAACTGTTCTCGAACCGTGCAGACTCCGCACTCCGCAGTCCAACTCCGTATTCCTGTTGTTTCCTATAGCTTTACCAGTAGTAATGAACTAATCGATAAATAAATAATAGTCTAATATTCCTAATAATTATCACTTTGTTTCTAATTGATTAAATAATTATTAATTAATGCAACTTTAAAACCATTCATTACCTTTAAAGTTGGTGTATGACACGGGGAATTACTTTCCAGATCTGATGAAGCCGATTGAGTCACTAGAGAAAAAATGAGATGACAAAACATGGCAATTTTCCTGCAACTTTCTAAACATACTGATCGTATTTATGGAATTTACTGTCAATACTGCGTGTTCAACCAAAAACCAAGCATAGGTATCTGCCTATAGTCAATATAGATACTGTCAGTTTCATCTTTCATGTTTTATTTGTTCACTTTTTTCTTCGATCTTGGGTTGGTCAAGCAAGGAAAACGTCGGTGAAGTAAAACTGACAGTGATCTCGTTCACAATTTCTCTACAACGCGGCTATTTGTCCAAAATTACCTAGCACCCTTGCCCACGCTGCAGCAAAGAACATTGACAAAGTATCACACACTTATACCCTCATATATGTTACTTACTTTCGCTTGATAAGGAACTTCTATTAACAGTAGACTTGCTGTCTTTAAAATCTGACTCCTCGTTCACCACATCCAAGTTACTTGGAAATGAAATAATTCTCTTCTCGCCGCTTAATATTCTATTGAGTGGAAAAGTCACAACATTGACAGAATTGTCGATTGTCCCACTCGAAGCTGATCTTTTTTTATTCCTTGGAAAACCGTTGTCACCAATATGATCACTGTCTTGACTGCCCAAACTGGCCGATCTTGCCCGAACTTCCAACGAGTCAATCAGGTCATCGTCAGTGCCTAGTTTCGCAGATAAAAAACCGTATAAATTTCAAAACTGATTGAAGAATGATACAGCTGAAAACCAAGTATGTTTTATTTGAGATACAGATAATTAGTTGATATTTAAAAGTTTTGCCGGGTTTTTTTCTTAGTTTTTTTCTCACAAACATTACCTAGACTGCTGTCGGTCATCTTGCTTCTTTTTTATGTCTCTCAACACCAATATTTTTACATATTATACTATTATTCTTTATTAAACGCCTCTACAGATGAGTCAGTTAGAAGATTAACCTATAGACATGATGTAAAATGTGACGTACATGCGAAGAAATGAGGTAAGATGTGGAACAAGCATTGGAAAACGACCGAAATTTTAATTAATTTATTTTCCTTAGTGGTTTCTAGCAATGATTATAATCGATCTTGTTATATAACTAGTGCCTAAACTAAACGTGATTGGCTGATTTGTGGTCACGTGGATTTAGATAAATGCAATGTATCCCCGCCTGGCAACAACATAAATGTGCATAAATGCTCAAAAGTTTATAGAAATAAAGTTTTTCCAGTTTATGAAAAGAATACAGTATCTAACAGAGAAGAAAAATACTGAACAAGAAACAGCAAATGCTGTTTAAACGCTTTTTAGCAGGTTCTTTTATTGTTAAAATGATACTGATCACTTTATTCATGAAATATAATTGTTGGTTTTTTCCTTCGAATCTCAAACATTGAAATTCTCGGGAAAACAAAACTATTTCCCTCGGGAGAATGCAACTTCATGCTTATTTTTTCCTTAATTAATAATTTGCATTTGTCTAGCTGTGTTAGGAATTTTGAGAATCTTTTTCAAAAGGTAGGAAGCCGAAAAATGAGGAACTTTAGAAAATGCTTTTTTACCTTCCATAAGACTTGGCGAACTTTTCGTCTTAAATAACTCCCTGCGATCTTGAGATCGTAACCTGCTCTTTCCATCACTGACTCCATTACAGTTAGTTTTATCCTCAGAATCATCATCACATTCCCTGACGTTCTCGTCAGTGCCACGAAAATCTGCGGATAAGTCCTCTGTTGATGTACCAAAATCTCGGAGGGTTTTGCTCAGGTCAATGGTGGAAGTACTCTGGTCAACTGTCGTTCTGGTTTGAGTATTCTCTAAACTGAGCCTGGCATGTTTTCTATGTTTGCCATTATAAGTTTGCGTGGGTGAGCAATCATTGCCATTCACTAAAGGTGACTCATCTTCATTGATGTCTAAATTAAATACAATTCACCCAAGAATGAATGATAATGAGGTTCACAATTTCAATTCTGCCTTCTTATTAATAATCCAGGTGATCTCGGAACTCGGAAAAGGCCTGGCACAAGTTGTAAAATAGAAATCCATTTCTGGTTTAAAATTACTCAATATCTCATCAACGGTATTAGATTTCTATTTCAAATTTGTCACAGACATTCATTTCCCTCTGCATGACACAGACATAAAGTTTCAACAGTTTCACAAAAGAATCAGGGCGTGACAAGTGATTAAAGGTACGAAACTGGATTTCTATTCTGTTGCTAGTCCCAGTCCTTTTGCTCACTGTCAGATCACCTGGAATATATGACATTTTTACTTTAGCACTCGTGAGGTAAAGTTAACTTTTAGTCTGATGTTTTTCATTAAATTAATCTATAAAAAAGGACACCATGGGATTTCTTGGTAGATTCAAGTGGAAGCATCTTCTCGCATAGGAAATTATAATAAAAAAACTGCATATTTCAGGAGTCGAACCCAGTGAGGAAGGGGTCAACTAATAGAGTATCGTTCTAGCATTCTGGAGGTTGCGATTCCTCATAAAGTCTCAAACAAGCATAACAAATTAACCCTGAATTGTTATCAACAACCTAGAAGTGAACACAATCTGATATCGGCTTGGTAGCAGTTTAGCAGTTACATCTTGTGCGTTTTTACGAATGAAACACACGATCACTGCGTATTAGCCATAAAAAAAACTTCACAAGTAGAAGCTGTAAAGCTCATCTGTTTTTTACCAGAATTCAGTAATCTTGCTTTGTTCACATTCTCGTACTCTTTCAGTTTCAAATGCATCAAGCGATTATCATGAGCGAGCTTTTGAAATGTCTTGATGGCTTTCATCTCACGCTGAAGTGCATTGTGTAATCGTTCACGGAGTATCCTATTCTCAGATTTCACCATCTCGAATCTCTCTTCAGGGTTCGCAATATTGGACATATCATCAATGAGTTCTCCCAAGTTACCGTTAGTTCGTAAATGTGCGATATCAAATATGTAATCCTGTGGATAGACAAGTGCTGGAAGACCGTCGCTCTCCTTCAAACTGTCAAGGATGTCTTTCTGAATTCTTATCTTTGCGTCTTCACTCGATTTTTTGTACCCATAAGAAAATCTATCTCGACGGTTTTTCGGCGTCGGTGATGTCCCAGAACGGACTTTATCAGTAAGTGAACTGTTGGGCTCCACAGAACGTTCTGTCGTCGACATTGTTTAAACACACTGCAACAAAGAAAGAAATTATGATTAGTGACTACGAGGATAACTATTCTTGCCTGATACGTCAGTATCCAGATCTCCAATCTGGCCTGGTTCGTCAGTGTCACGATCCCCCAAGTATGGAAGTTGGCTAGTCTGCATGCATGAACTAGCCAAAGTCCAGCCTCAGACACTGTTTCTATAGCAGAGCTATATAGAAACCTAGCTTGCATCAACGTTACCTGAACGTTACCACAACCAATTTGCCTATTCCGCAATTTGCTTAAACTTTTCTTCTCCATTTCCACTTAAAAATATCAAAATATCGTGAAAGACATTTAAGTGTTTGTAATGCACATGAGAATTGTACATGTTCATTAGAAATCAAACTGTTCCGTAATCTGAATTCTTCACTATTCTATGAAGTAAATTATGACAACAGCATAATGGTTATGATTAATGGCGATATTTAATTGCAGTTAAATAGTAATGACGTATTGATAGCATAGGATATTTGATCCTCTCACGAGACAGGGAGATGAAGGGGAGAAGAACACCAAGCAAATGCAATTTGCATGTATAATTGATATTGGCAACAGAAGAACACTCGCAAGACAACGCAGTTGTCGTATGTATGAAGAACCCAAAAGTTGTTAGTAAAAAGTTAATTGTAGATGGGTTTCGTTTCATAATCTCTGTGTTGGTGTTAATGGAAAGATCTGGCCCACGAGTTTCTCGAAAATCTAGCGAAAATGGGTCTCCTTCTAATTTGATTCAAATTTTATGAACGTTATGTGTTCCATATGACAATTTGACCGTTCTGACCGGTCTGGCCGAGTTAATGGAAAGTGCCCTTATACATTTATAATTTACATTTATTTATTTATTTATTTATTATATAAAGTATAGTGCTTTATAGAGATTTCGAGCACTGATAAAAGTGATAATCTCACATGTGAAAATTATCGCTTTTCAATTATCGTTTTTCTGCAAAAATTATCGCTTTTCAAAGACTGTCATTTATATCATGTTCAACACTCGAAATAAATCTGGTATTTCCGCGCACCCATGTATTATTCTCTATAAAATTTACATTTATTTAATAAATGTATAAAATTCACACTCGAAATTTCCATATACAAAACCCTTCTACAATTAGTTATATCGAGTGAGATGCCCAAAATCCTGATATTTACTCATACACCTTACATTGGCATCACCATATACATGAACATCTCGATAATAGACCTTTCCGGTAATTACGTCACAACTACACTGTTTTCAACTTAGAACCACCTTAAATGGAATGGATTTTAAGTTTGTTTCTCGCGTGCTATGGTCAGAGGAGCAGAACATCGTTCTTCAACACATGCATAAAAGAGAATTTTGGATTTTGACTATTAAATGTGGAAATAAGCTTAAACACGAAAACGAGGCTAAGGGGCCTCTTACTTTGCCTCGAGGCTAAGGGGCCTCCTCCTCAGCCTCGTTTTCGTGTTTAAGGTTATTTCCACATTTAATAGTCAAAATCCAAACTTTTTTTCATGCATGTGTTGACGAAGGATGTCGTGCTTCTCTGACCATAGCCCCTGAAAAACAAACTTAAAACCATTCCACTTAAGGTGGTCCTAAGTTGAAAACAGTGTTAGTCGTGACGTAATTACCGGAAAGGTCTATTGGCCTCTGTAGCTCAGTTGGTTCGAGCGCTGCATCGGATCGCAGGGCCGCAGGTTCGATTCCTGTCAGAGGGCCTAGCTAGCTGTAGTTGCATTTTTCGCAACTGCTCCTGGTTAGGTCTACTTCACACTCGAACTTCACACTCGAACTTTTCATCTACAAAACACATCTACAATCAGCTACATAAGGCCTATATCGAGTGTAGATGCCCAAAATGCTGATAATTATTAGTAAAAATCTGCTGATAGTCGGTTACTATAAATGATTAGACAGCTTAGTCTGAGAAATTTTTGAACTAGATCTGTCGCGCGTACACAGAACAGTACAGAACGTAGCCGAATTATTTTGACATTCTTGCTTCAAATCAAGAACTACAATTTATGTCTTCTGTTGGTAATTTCAAACATGAACGGCTGTTGGTGTCTTTAGTGACTAGGTTTTGTACTCGTGAACTCCGCGTTAACAAAATCGTCGCGCACTTCAACTCTGTATAAATTGTCTCTGTCTTCATTACCATGTCCATAAACTTCAATTAGATAGACCACGTATAAGTTACGAAACAAAGTGGGCCAAACCTATAATTATTTTCCGCTTTGTAATATATCAGTATATCTATCATTGTATGGGCTTTTCAGTTGCTTTATCATGCATTTTACTATACCAAAGCATAACAAAGGCGGTGTAACCGGTGTCCCAGGATTTTCGCCCCCCCTACAATTTCGCCCCCCCCTGGGGGGCGAAAATCCTAGGAAATTCGCCCCCCTTTAGGAAATTCGCCCCCCTTTAGAAACTTCACCTTTTCTTTAGGATTTTTGTCCTCCGTTCAAAAGTTCGACCTTCCTAACAGTTGCATGGGATAATTATTACATGGCTTTAGTCATTTGAAATCAGTATCAATTCAAAATTGTTAAGACAGAGCTTGAAATAACAACCGATCAATGATCGGCATGGAATTGATTATGATCCGCGGAAAAGCAGGGTTTCGGTTTCCAACCTGAAAAAATCAGGGAAAGTCATGATCGAGAACTTTGGGAACGTTATTTCAAGCCCTGTAAGAATACAAATTTACAATTACATGTATCGAAAGGGCTTACACAGTTCACAGTTAATAGACTAAGACTTATGACGCTTCACAGCACACCATGCATATTTTGCATTTTCAGTGTTAATCGTTAAACTCATTGTTAAAAAGTAATCACCGTGGTGGTTATTGTCATTATTGGTATTGTTTTGCATCCACATTTTTTCGTTATCGGAAAATGTATGGCTTACAACTTGTCAGTACGTTCAAAAAAGACAAAAAAGCTTTTAGTTTTGCAGAGTTTAAGGCACTGATAAAATCAAAGTATCATGAAACATGAAATTATTTGAATAAACCACACCACATATATATAATGCAATTTTCTTTGCGGAAGTTAAAAATCAAGATTACATCACTGACACTGACATGGAAAGTTGACGATTCAATGGACAATAGTCCGAGCAATAGTCAATACGCTTCCCAACAAATTCCATAGATTTTTTATTAATCCTATAGTTTATTGTTAGCATGGAAGTGATTAATGTGGCGGCTATTGTTAACACTGGTATTGATAAAATTTGCAAGCGATTGTTTTTATAATATGTTATGTGAATGTAACTGCCAGAAGAATACGACAACATGATTTTATGAGATATCTGTGGGCAATGGTTCCACTTTAGATGTGTAGAATATGACACTAGTCTAAGTACCTCAAATGACTGGTTATGCCGACTGTGCACACCACCAGCTGCTAAGAAGCCTAAAATGTGTATGTGATTTTGTCTCCTTGTAATAAATAAATAAATCACACAATAAATCTTTTCAACTTGCAATCGTTTTGTTCATATCAAACTTTGCGTTAACAAAAAGTCGTGTCGTATTGCGCGTATCATATTTCCAACTTTTGCCTATACAAATCACCCCCAAATTTGATGTTTTTTCGCTTACGTTTGCTCTACGATTAGATCTGTGTTCAGTTACCTACGGTATAGGAAAGAATAAGCCTTTAGACGTCTTTTGAATGTACTTTTATGGGGAAATAATACTTAATTCGAAGGGCAC